AACGAGATAGTGATTTCCCCATCCTTGGAAGCATTCAGTAACTTATTGGAGATGTTAACAGAGGAGATCAAAGTAAGGGATGGAATGGGAACAAAGTGATTTTTTAAAGGTCTCTCATTACCTTGCAGACCCACAGGATTGCGTTTATGATTGCAGATTATTAGCCAGCCCAACCCCAAACAGCCCTCTATTCTTTAAACTCACTGACTGAGTCTAGGAGATACATGTTGGAATTAAGGTGACTTTTAAAAGCTCCGATTCCCTGGCACTCTTTATCCATACTTCAAACTGCCCAGGTGTTCTCTGCTTCAGTAAAATCAAGGCAATGAGGACACGAGATTTTCATTTTGTAGCTGATGTTTAGCAGAGTTACCCATTTTCCTCGTGCATGAGCCCCAGTAAACCCCTAAGACGACAACCCCGCCCCAAAGCCCATAAACCTCTTAGCTGGATGCCTCCACCCCGCTCCCACCTCCCCTGCCCGGCAAGCCGGCTGCTGTGTTTAGTGTTTGGAGATGAAACACAGGGTTCAAAGCATTGTCTCACTGGAAGCCAACCCCAGAGAAACAAGCATGCTATAGCCACTGGTGCCCAGACTTTGAGCATTCATAGACCAATAATTCTCAAAAATAAATCTAGGGAAAGATTGCCAGCTTTTAATTTTTGCCAAGTAAGGACTTTTTTCTAAACTACCACATACTCTTGATTGTTATTTCATAAAAAGAACGGACATTTTTGTCCTTGTGCTTAGGAGCTGCATTCTGAGATACGGGTGAAGTGTCATGATGTCTGCATGTACGTTCAAATGGTTAAAAAGGGAAAAAACAGGTAGATATAGAGGAGTGCAAGCAGCAAAATGTTAATTGTCAAATCTTGAAGTTGACCATGTGGGTGTCTATTGTACTGTTCTTCTAACTTTTCTGTGCTTTAAAATTTCATAATAAAATTGTAGAATATGCAGAGCTCATGACAGAAGGCAGATCTGTGATTGCCTGGGGCAGGAGGGTGGATGGAGTTGTTGATGGAAATGGGTACAGGGAACTTTGGGGAGTGGTGGAATTGATCACAGCGATGGTTACACAATGTAGATGATGACCAAAACTCATCAAGCTGTACACTCAAAATGGGTGAATTTTGTTAGTTATTAGATACATTATCCCTCTATATGTATTTGCCTACACTCATCTATGTCTATCTATTTCAAAATTCACCCATTTCATATATATATCTCAATGAAGATAGAGGGGAAGAAGAAAAAGAATGACTTGTTTTTTGTTTTTTCTTGTTTGTCTGTTTTTGTTTTTTGTTTTTTGTTTTTTGGGTTTTTTTTGAGATAGAGTCTCACTCTGTTACCCAGGCTGGAATGCAGTCTCGGCTCAGTGCAACCTCCATCTCCCAGGTTCAAGTGATTCTTTGCCTCAGCCTCCCAGGTAGCTAGGATTAAAGGCGCCTACCCCCACACCCAGCTAATTTTTGTATTTTTTATAGAGAAGAGGTTTCACCATGTTGGCCAGGCTGGTCTCGAACTCCTTACCTCAAATGATCCGCCCGCCTCTGATTCCCAAAGTGCTGGGATTACAGGTGTGAGCCACTGTGCCCGGCACAGCATTTTTTTTTTTTTTTTGGAGACAGGGTCTCGTTCTGTTGCCCAGGCTGGAATACAGTGACATGCTCGCAGCTCACTACAACCTCAACATCCCAGGCCCAAACAGTCCTCTGACATAAGCCTCCCAAGTAGCTGGGACCACTGGCACACACACCACCAGGCCTGGCTAATTTTGTTTACTTTTTATAGAGATGGGGTCTCACTATGTTGCCAGGTTGTTCTCAAACTCCTGTGCTCAAGCGATCCACCTGCCTCGGCCTCTCAAAGTGCTCAATAAATGTACATATATGTATATATTCACAAATACATAATCCACCTGCCCTGGCCTCTCAAAGTGCTCTGTAAATGTACATATATGTATATATACACAAATACATAGCCTCTGTGTGTTTTCAAAACGTGGACGTGCGACACGCACCATTCTACAACCTTGTTGGTTCTGTCACAATCTCTCACCTTTCTACTCCAGGCATTTTACCACAGTCAGATTTTCCCAATGAACCCAAAATGTCCTACACATCCCTTTTGGCCAGTTGTGTATTCAGTCTGGAGCTGCACATGACATCTGGGTGTCGAGTGCCTCAGCATCTTTTAATATAGTAAACCCCATTTTTTTTTCTTTGAGACAGAGCAGAGTCGCTCTGTCACCCAAGCTGGAGTGCAGTGGCATAATCTCGGCTCACTGCAACCTCCGCCTCCTGGGTTCAAGCGATTCTTCTGCCTCAGCCTCCCAAGTAGCTGGAACTACAGGCGCCCACCACCACACCTGGCTAATTTTTGTATTTTTAGTAGAGACGGGTTTCACTATGTTCGCCAGGCTGGTCTTGAACTCCTGACCTCGTGATCCACCTGCCTCGGCCTCCCAATGTGCTGGGATTACAGGCATGAGCCACCGCGCCTGGCCTAGTAAACCCCATTTCTATGGCACTGTTTGTTGGATTTGTCTGGCACTTCACTTGTGTCACGTAGCTCATTCTTTGTATTTCCAATAAACTAGAAATGATGTCTGAAGGCTCATGGATTCAAGTTAACCCCAAGGGACACATCCCATGTGGCTAACACTACCGGCAATATGAAGATTGACCCTGGTATCTGCCATGCACCTTGGGATGACAGCATGATCCATGTGGCATCGCTTCAGTCCTACAGTCATTTTCCCATCAACTCTTCACCTGATGGTTTTAACACCAATGAATAATCTTTGTGTTTTAAAATAGGGGTTTTGCAGTTCAGGTATGGTGAGGCCAACAAAAGAATATGCTAAGGATAGGGTGACATTGAAGTGAAGACTCAAAGCAATTGAAGGAGTGAGCCATGTCGCCGGCTGCGGGAAGAATGTTCCAGGAGAGGAAATGGCAAGTGGAAAGGCCTAGACGGAGGTTTAAAGAAAAGCAGGCCAGCGGTGGTGGCTCATGTCTGTAACCCCAACACTTTAGAAGGTTGAGGTGAGCGGATCAGTTGAGGTCAGGAGTTCGACACCAGCCTGGGCAACATAGCAAGACTCCATCTCTACAAAATTTTAAAGAATTAGCTGGGTGTGGTGGCATATGCCTGTAGTCCTAGCTACTCGGGAGGCTTAGGTGGGAGGAGCGCTTGAGCCCGGGAGTTCAAAGCTGCAGTGAGCTGTGATTGCACCACTGCACTCCAGCCTGGGTGACAGAGCTAGACCCTGTCTCTAAAAGAAAACAGACTCGGTATTCTGGAGCGAAGTGGACAAGGGAGAGAGAGTGGTGAGAAATAAAGTCAGAGGTAACGGGGGGCCAGAGCATGCCGGACCTGGCAAGCATTGTCCAGACTTAGATGGGAAGCCATTGGAATGTTTGAGTGGATGTTGATACCCCAAACGTCGGAACAAGCTTTCTGCATATACTCGTTTCATTCCCAAGTCAGTCCCCCATGTAAGTGTGTTAGTGGTCACAGAATCCCCTCCATCCATTCCCCAAGTGTTCTCGGGAGCAGGCATCGTTCTGGGCACTGTGAAGACAAAAGTGAGGGAAATGAAATGACCTAGGCCCTGCCCTCATGGAGCCTAGACTCCCGTGAGAGAAGAGAGACCGTAGAATAATTCCCAACCAAGAATGAAATGCGGCCAGGCACGGTAGCTCATGCCTGTAATCCCAGCACTTCAGGAGGCCAGGAGTTCGAGACCAACCTGGCCAACATGACGAAACCCCATCTCTATTAAAAATACAAAAATTAGCTGGGCGTACTGGTACACAACTGTAATCCCAGCTACTCGGGAGGCTGAGGCAGGAGAATTGCTTGAACCCAGGAGGTGGAGGCTGCAGTGAGCCGAGATGGCGCCACTGCACTCCAGCCCGGGCAACAGAGTGAGACTCTATCTCAAAAGAAAAAAATAAAAAAGAGTGAAATGCAAGTGTGCCTCCAGTCTGGTCCTGGAGGTTGGGGATAGCTCCCCTGAGGAAGCGACTCCTGGTCAAAAATCTGAAAGGCCAAGAAGAGTCAACAAAGTGGAGAGAGGAGAGGCTTGTTCCAGGCAAAAAGAACAGTGGGAAGGAGGAAGCGTGGCAGATGGCGTGGAAGGAAAGGCAGGCGGAGGTTCCAGAGGCTGCAAGCTTTTTGCCTGCATTCTAAGAGCAATGGGTGATTATAAGCAAGGGGTGACAGGTCCAGGCTCAAAAGGTCTCTCTGCCTCTGTGTGGAAAAGGGCTTGGAGGGTAGAAATAAATATAGTCGACTGGGTGTGGTAACTCACGCCTGTAATCCCAGCACTTTGGGAGGCCGAGGCAGTTGGATCACCTGAGGTCAGGAGTTCGAGACCAGCCTGGCCAACATAGCGAAACCCTGTCTCTACTAAAAATACAAAATTAGCCAAGTGTGGTGGGCGGGCACCTGTAGTCCCAGCTACTCGGGAGGCTGAGGCAGGAGAATCACTTGAACCTGGGAGGCAGAAGTTTCAGTGAGCCGAGACTGCACCACTGCACTCCAGCCTAGGAGACAGAGCAAGACTCCATCTCAAAACAAAAAACAAAACAACACAAAAAAAGAAAAGAAATAGATGTAGTCAGGCCAGTCCTGGGAAGCAAAGGCGGTGCTGGGGATAGGAGGAGGCAGACAGGTTCCAGAGACAGTGCGGGGATCGACAGGACTCCTGGAGCCATCAGTCAGTAGGAGCGGGTGGAGGAGAGGGACAGATCCAGCTTGGTTTGCATAACACCAGGTTCATCTTGAGGCTGACATTTCTCCTTGACCTTTTTGTTTAGTCCCCACCCCCAAGGTCGCATTAGCTGCCTGCTGAGTTTAATCAAATCTCTTCCTGTCCTGGCAATGCCCGGGAATGAAGGGATAATCAGTCTATTTCCAGAATCCAAAGAGGTTTAGAAGAAAAAGTAGCTTTCATTTAGCTGTTGGCCCTCCCACCAACCTTCCCCAAGTGAGCTGGGTGACTCGTACATCTGAGACCCTCCGTATGGAGACCGGGACGGGGGTGTTGCTTAATGCTTAGAACTGCTGAAACTACCAGTTCACTGTCTCAGCACTAATCCAACTCTGCTCTTAAGTGGGATTTGGCTTTTAGACATTGAGACCTGGACGCTGGGCATCCTCGCTAGATCCCCTACAAATTCCCCACATACACAGGCCAGGGGCCTCAGCGGTGCCTCTGCAGGCTCAGCTGGTGAGACGGCACCAGCTTGCTCAGAACAGGGGCTGGCTGTTCATCGTCTCAGAGCATAGAGACCCTCTCCTTGCCACCCGGCCCTTCCCACCTGGTTGGTGACAAATCACAAGGTATGTGACCACCACAGGCCAAAACCTTCTCAGAAACCTGGGGCAGGTGTGGGGAAGAGCCAGGATGGGCGTTTTCATGCAGACAGTAGGTCCCGCCTTCACCTTTTCTGTGTGGTTTCCATAAGACTTTGCTATTTAAGGAGACTCGGAGTGAGCCGGGTGCCATGGCTCATGCCTATAGTCCCAGCGACTCAGGAGGCTGAGGCTGGAGGATCACTTGAAGCCAGGAATTCGAGACCAACTTGAGCAATACAGTCAGACCCAGTCTCTACAAAAAAAAATAAAAATAAAAATAAATGAGCTAGACATGGTGTCACACACCTGTAGTCCTAGCGAGTCAGCAGGCTGAGGCAGGAGGATCACGAGCCCAGGAGTTCGAGGTTACAGTGAGCTGTGATTGTGATGCTGCCCTCCAGCCTGGGCAACAGAACGAGATCCTATATCTTTAAAAAAAACCTCAGAGTATGTTTAATTCCAGACCACTAAGACAGCCTCTTAATTGTAATACAGGGTGGCTATCTCTTAGTGGGAATTGCTGAATAGAACTTTTGGGATTTTAATATATTCTTTAAAAAAAAAATTGATAGGATCTTGCTATGTCCCCCAGGCCAGTCTCCGGCTCCTGGCTTCAAATGATCCTCTCACTTCAGCCTCCCAAAGTGTTGAGATTACAGGTGTGAGCCATAGTACCCAGCCATTAATATATTCTTGAAAACAGTCTTTGTGAAGTAGTTATGTTGTGGTTTTCAGGAACTTTTTTGATTTATTTGCCATTAGACACAGTCACGATAGAACTTTAAATTCCACCTGGCTAAGTGTGATAACACCAAAGGTTAGCCAGAAAGTAAAACCTCACTGGAATCTAGCTAGACTCCCTGGTGAGGTGTACTGAGAAATGTCTGAAGCTTACCAAGAAAAATAAAATATCGAAAACACCCCAAATCATGCTGCAGTAAAATACAAACTAAGCAAAGACTCATCAGTGAAACTCAGATGTTGAAGCCGGTAGAAGGGAATGGTGAGGGTGCACAGCACCTCTTGAGTAGATTTCATACCCAGGATGTTCTTGACTTGATATTTAGGATTGTCTTACCTTTCTCCAGTCCTCTAACGCCTGACCAACACCCCAAGGTGGTAGAAGTTGCCAGGGACAGATAACATGGCAGCCAGTGGGAAGACCAGCAAGTCCGAACCGAACCATGTTATCTTCAAGAAGATCTCCCGGGACAAATCGGTGAGTGGTGCAGCAGTGAGTGGTTTGATAGAAATTATTGTTTTTTAAAAATGGAGCTTTTTCAAGTACAGTGTAGTCACAAGCAACATCAAAACTCTTTGAGGACCAGGGCACGTGGCTCATGCCTGTAATCCCAGCACTTTGGGAGGCTGAAGTGGGATAACTTGAGGCCAGGAGTTCGAAACAAGCCTGGCCAACATGGCAAAACCCATCTCTACTAAAAATAAAAAAAATCAGCTGGGTATGGTAGCAGGCACCTGTAATCCCAGGCTTGGGAGGCTGAGGCACAAGAATCACTTGAACCCAGGAGGCAGAGGTTGCAGCGAGCCCAGATCATGCCACTGCACTCTAGCCTGGGTAACAGAGGGAGACTCTGTCTCAAATAAAAAACAAACAAACCCTGTGAGGGCCGGGGGAAGCTTTGTGTCTATTTTCGTCTCTGTCTAAGATGGATGATCACTGAGATATAAATGAGTGAATGAACTGCAGAAATATAGGTTCTCTTCAATCTCATCAAGACTTTAGTCCTATGACCCTCAGTTTTCTCCCAATCCCTCAATCCCCACACTGACTCCCCCACCTCTGCTTCTTTTCCTAGCCGGCCTTGAACCCTTGACCTACTATTTAAACACTGTTATTTAAACAGTGTTTTGTCAGTGTTAGCTGTGATTCCCTTGGCCTTTTGTCTATCTCTTGTGTCACCTGCCTGGGTAAAACCCAGACAGTGATCAATGTGATTCCTCCTTCTCTGTGCACCTACCCCACCACGGGACTCTCAAGCCTCAGCTGGGCCTGCAGGGCCTCAGTCTGCCCCCTTCCACCACTCTCCAGGAGCACGTTAGATGCTCCAGGTGTGTCCATGAACTTCCTGGCATGGGAGAGGGTCCACCGTCCAGCGTCTGTGGTTAGCTCCACTCAACATCTTCTTTTTTTTTTTTTTTTTTGAGATGGAGTCTCGCTCTGTCGCCCAGGCTGGAGTGCGGTGGCCGGATCTCAGCTCACTGCAAGCTCCGCCTCCCGGGTTCACGCCATTCTCCTGCCTCAGCCTCCCGAGCAGCTGGGACTACAGGCGCCCGCCACCTCGCCCGGCTAGTTTTTTGTATTTTTAGTAGAGACGGGGTTTCACCGTGTTAGCCAGGATGGTCTCCATCTCCTGACCTAGTGATCCGCCCGTCTCGGCCTCCCAAAGTGCTGGGATTACAGGCTTGAGCCACCGCACCCGGCCAACATCTTCTTAAGAGCCAAAACTCTAGCTCAGCACCATCCAGTGCAAGCCACATACTTAATTTTAAATTTTCTAGTAGCCACATTTAAAAAGTAATAAGAAACAGGCAAAATTCATTTTGATGCTATATTTTATTTTAACCCAGTATATCCAAAAAACTGTCAGTTCAGCTCATAAATAATATAAGAATTATTGAAATCTGGTGTGTATTTTACATTTACAGAACATGTCAATTTGGAATGGCCATATTTCAGGTGTCCGGGAACCACCTTAAGCAGTGGCTACCCTACTGGACAGGGTAGCTCGCCATCATTCTGGGTGTTTTTTTGTTTTTTTTTTTGAGACGGAGTCTCATTCTGTCACCCAGGCTGGAGTGCAGTTGCGTGATCTCGGCTCACTGCAACCTCCGCCTCCTGGGTTCAAGGAATTATTTTGCCTCAGCCTCCCTAGTAACTGGTACTACAGGCACCCGCCACCACGCCTGGCTAATTCTTGTATTTTTAGTAGAGATGGGGTTTCACCATGTTGGCCAGGCTGGTCTTGAACTCCTGACCTCAGGCGATCCCCCGATCTTGGCCTCCCAAAGTGCTGAGATTACAGGTGTGAGCCACCGCGCCTGGCCCATCGTGGCTGACTTCTGAAACCCGTATGGGGGCCAAAGAACCTCCCCATCCTTACTGTGCCACCCAGGAGATCCGGCTTTGCCTGTGTGCTTCCCGCCTTCTCCTTTCCTAGCTAAGGAACTCGGTCATTTTAATCAAGTACTCTGATTCTTTCATTCTCCAAGCTCTTTCCCAAGTTGTATCTTTCCAGTCCATTTTATCTCAACTTCTGGCTGAAGAGGAAACCACTCGTGTTGGTGTCCCACATTGTTTTCCCCTCGCTCCTAGATAGACGTCCTTTCTACCCAGAAATGTAGAGGGTTTTTGTGGATAAGTCATCACAGTGGGGAAAAGATAATTCAATTCCTGTCTCATGTATTCGGATCATTTTGCCAGCGACGTCTGTGTGGCCCCAGGCATGAGGTGCCAGGGCTTTGAGTCCATTACTTTGTGATTCTCTGGACGCTGCCCTCTTCTTTGACCTTCATCCTCCAGCAGGTGGCTAAATGCCCCCGCTCCCGGCGTCTCACCCACACTTGACAACATCCAGAAGGAAGAGGCTGTGGTTTCCTGGGGTCTCTTCTAAGGGTCAGGAAATCTTTCCCAAGCCTCTTCTCCCATATCTCATTGGCCAAAACTGGGTCACATGCCCACCATAAGCCAATCCCAAGGCAGAAGAATTAGATGATCACAGTGAATCAGGCCAATCAAGAATCGTTCCCTGGAGCTGGCCTCCTCTGAGCACACCATCTGGTGGAAGATGGTGGTCCCTGAACACAGTTTGCAGCTTTTATCCACAAGAAGGGGTGTGTGGCTGTTGGATGGCCTCCCGAAGGCTGGCTACAGTCTCACATCACCCACTTCTCTACCTGCCCCCATCCTGCCTCTGCCCAGCATTTTGGGAGGCTGAGGTGGGTGGATGACCTGAGATCAAGAGTTCGAGACCAGTCTGGCCAACATGGAGAAACCCCGTCTCTACTAAAAGTACAAAAATTAGCTGGGCGTGGTGGCGCATGCCTGTAATCCCAGCTACTCAGGAGGCTGAGGCTGGAGAATCGCTTGAACACAGGAAGTAGAGGTTGCAGTGAGCCGAGATCGCGCCATTGCACTTCAGCCTGGGCAACAAGGCGAAACTCTGTCTCAAAAAACAAAACAAAACAAATAAATAAGTACCGACCTTATGCACCTCAAAACAACCACCAACTACCCTCGACCCTATATCCTTTCTAATTCTTCTTCCCTTGCAACCGAACCTTTTGAAAGAGAAGAAACATGTCCTCTCTTCACCTACCCTCTTCTCTCCCAGCCACTGTCCAGTGCCCTCATCTGCACCACAGTCAGGCTGCCTAACCGGCCCTCCCCTTGCCGATCCATTCTCCACTTTACTGCTGATATGAGCTAAATCTCAGTGCTCCCTTCTATAAAATGGGCTCCATTCCTATCTCATTGAGTTGCTGTGAGGATTAAGTGAAACCATGTGGTCAAAGTGCTTAGCTTGGCCCTTGATACATGATAAGCACTCTAAATGCTATTTAATTCTTCCAAAAGCTATTTCTCTATTTAGCTTCTCTAAATACTGTTTAATTCAAGTCTTTCATCCTGCTTAAAACGCTTCAACGTCTTCTGAGGTTCTTTAGGGCCACGTCCTATGAGACCATTTCAGCAGCAGCCTGCATCCCCATTCGGTGGCCATTCACCTGCAGGCGAAGCCATTGGCAGTTCCAGAAGCATTCTCAGGGCCCCGGGCTTTGTATACATTTTGCTCAGACAGCATGCCCTCACCGTCCCCTGTCCCCTGGCTATGCCATTTGTCCACTGGATAGAGCCTCCTCTGAAAGCAAGAGCCTCCCCCCTCTCCTTCCCTCCTCATTGCCCTCCCCTCGGGCTTCCTCCCCACCAGCCTTTGCCCTGGCATTTATTCCAGGGGCACAATTGTCAGTTCACTTGTTGGGCTCCCAACCAAAGAGCAGGGACCTTGGGGACCAAGGGGATGTCTTCTTCAGTTTTTATTTTCAGTAGCCAGCAGCTGCTGGGGCCTCCATAGCCGTGTATGGCATGAATGAAAGCAGCACTTGCCTAATTGACAGGCGAAGTCTAGCAGAGGAGACAGGCTCCTGCAAGAACACCCAGAACGCGGTGTGCTGCACGCTGAGGTGGAATCACAGGCCACGTGCTCCCGGGGCACTAAAGGCCAGGGGGTGCTGGGCAAAGGGAGAGATGGGGACCCTGAGGTGTCCCCTGAAGCGTGGATAGGATTGCCCCCAGGTGAAAGGGCAGCAGAAGGGCCTTCCTTAGAGTGGAAACAATAGGAACAGAGGCACAAATCTGTGGTGTTTGGGGGAGCTGTGGCAGAGCCGCTGTGGCCAGAGCCCAGGGAAGAGCGGAGCTGTTAGAGGGGACACTCTCAGGGTGGCCACGCACAAGGCCCTGGAGTTTATGCCACAGAGAAGGAGTGAGCAGCCACTAGACACTGAGCAGCTGAATAGCGATGTAATAGTTACCATTCCTGCAAGGCAGCCTCCAAATAGGTTGATTTGAGGAGAATTTTTTTTTTTTAGAGACAGGGTCTCACTCTGGGGACCAGTGAAGATCCCTTTACCCGCTTTGTGGGAGAGCAGGGTTGGAGTACAATGGTATGATCATAGCTCACTGCAGCCTTAACCTCCTAGGCTCAAGTGATCCTCCTTCCTCAGCCTCCCAAGTAGTTGAGACTACAAGCAGGCATCACCTTGCCAGGCTAATCTTTTTTTTTTTTTTTTTTGGAGAGATGGCAGGGGGCAGAGGAGGGGGTATCACTTTGTTACCCAGGCTTGAACTCCTGACTTCAGGCGATCCTTCCCACCTCGGTCTCTCAGTGCTGTGATTACAGGCATGAGCCACTCACTGTACCTGGCCAGAGGAGAGTTTTTAAAAGGGGCTGTTTGCTAAGGTGTAGGCAGGTGTGAAAGAAATCACAAGAAATAGCCAGGTACAGTGGTGGCTCATGCCTGTAATCCCAACACTTTGGAAGGCCAAGGTGGGTGGATTGCTTGAGCCCAGGAGTTTGAGACCAGCCTGGGCAACATGGCGAGACCCCGTCTCTACAAAAAAATATATAAAAAATTAGCTGGGCATGGTGGCGTGCAACTGCAGTCCCAGCTACCTGGGAGGCTGAAGTCAGAGGATCACTTGATCCCGGGAAGCAGAGGTTACAGTGAGGTGAGATAGTACCACTGCACTCCGGCCTGGGCGACAGAATGAGACCTTGTCTCAAAAAAAAAAAAAAAAAAAAAAATTACAAGAAAGAGCTCAGTGTGCCACATGGCAGTGACGAGCAGCTGAGCGCTGGCACCTCCCTGGGGCTAAGGGATCACACAAGTCTCAGAATCCCGAGGCCCTCAGGGCTACCTGCCAGGAACTATGATCCGCTCTAGGGGGCTGTGCCAGCCCCAGACCCGGCCACCATGCAGGCAAAGTGGGGACAAACATCTGGCCCACCTTGCCCAGAAGCCAGAGGACCAGGGAATCTACTAGGGTAACACACCCTGGTCAGCGCCCCAGGGGGATCTTGAGGGCAAGGCCAATACACCCACAGTGTTTAGGAAGCTGGGACTCACTGCAGGAACCAGCAGGTAGCAGTGTGAGTCCTGGTCAGCCCGCTCCTCTCAGATGCCAGGCTTCCACACCACCCAGGCTAGTGAGGCCTCCCAAATATGCTTAGCGCTGTGAGTATAAGGTTTCCTGCGGAATCTTCTCTGTAAACCAGGGTTCTAGCGGTATTTGCTTGAAGTCACTTCAGCATCAATCATGCAAGTAACTTAGAGGACACAGGGCCACACTTTGGGACATCTGATATGGGTGGAAGGGGAGCATATAGGAGAGGACTTAATGCCAACAAAAATGATTCAGGCTGTTCCTGGAATACAAAATATTCATTTGAAGAAGGGGACCAGCCAGGGGGCCACTCAGTGAAAGAGTGTGCTCTCATTCATGGCTGCACTTGGCAAACACTGAATCCCTGTGTGCCCGGGACTGTGCAGTAGATGCTGAAAGACGTGCAGAGACTCCGGGTTACCACCACCAAGGCACAGTCCTATGGGTTAAAGTGCTGAGGGCTGGGGAACCCAACCCTGCTCTCCCATGAGTGGGTGGAGACCTTTGCTGCCAGGGGCAGGGCAGGGGCAGGGCCTGTGGGCCCAGATGATGGCCATCCCCTCTCCACCCAGCTCCCTTGGGCTACGGCTTCAGGTCTACCTGTGCCGAAGTTCACCTGGTGGGATTTCAGGGGCTTCTCCAGAACTCCCACCTCTTTGCTCTGTCCAGAAGTTCTTTTTTTTTTTTTTTTTTGAGACAGAGTCTCGCTCTGTCACCCAGGCTGGAGTGCAGTGGCACTATCTCTGCTCACTGCAACCTCCACTTCCCAGGCTCAAGAAATTCTCCTGCCTCAGTCTTTCAGGTAGCTGGGATGACAGGCACACACTATCATGCCCGGCTAATTTTTGTGTTTTTAGTAGAGATGGGGTTTTGTCATGTTGGCCAGGCTGGTCTCAAACTCCTGACCTCAGGTGATCCACCCGCCTCAGCCTCCCAAAGTGCTGGGATTACAGGGGTGAGCCACCACACCCGGCCTGTCCAGAAATTCTTGTAACAAAGAGGGGATACCTTTCATTCCACAACTGGAAATAAAAGATTTAATATGCAAATGAATGGCAAACATCTCATTTGCATATTTTTCTTTTTTTTTTTTTCTTTTTTGAGACTGAGTCTCACTCTGTTGCCCAGGCTGGAGTGCAGTGGCACGCTCTTGGCTCACTACAACCTCTGCCTCCCAGGTTCAAGCGATTCTCCTACCTCAGCCTCCTGAGTAGCTGGGACTACAGGTGCATGCCACCATGCCCAGCTAATTTTTGTATTTTTTTTTTTTAGTAGAGACAGGGTTTCACCGTATTGGCCAGGTTCAAACTCCTGACCTCGTGATCCGCCCCTCTTGGCCTCCCAAAGTGCTGAGATTACAGGCGTGAGCCACCGCGCCCAGGCTGCTGCTGGTTTTTATCATGGATGCCTTAGCTTAGCATTCTTTGGCCCTTAGACCTACACCCGTTTGTCTTGCAGGTGACCATCTACCTGGGGAAGAGAGACTACATAGACCATGTCAGCCAAGTCCAGCCTGTGGGTAAGTTGCTTGGAGAAAATTGTAATGCTGGTTTTCCTTTAAGTCACAGATAACTGCTCACTTTGTATTTTCAAAAATCAGCCTTGCTAATAATCTAATTAAAGAAGTGCAAATTAAAACATCAGTGAGTTTCCACTGGCTGAGTGGGAACAATTGTATTTACATTTATTTTTATTTTTTTGAGATGGAGTTTCGTTCTTGTTGGCCAGGCTGGAGTGCAGTGGCACAATCTCAGCTCACTGCAACCTCTGCCTCCCAGGTTCAAGTGATTCTCCTGCCTCAGCCTCCCAAGTAGCTGGGATTACAGGCGTGCATCACCACGCCCAGCTAATTTTGTATTTTTAGTAGAGATGGGGTTTCACCATGTGGGTCAGGCTGGTCTCAAACTCCTGACCTCAGTTAATCCACCCGCCTCCGCCTCCCAAAGTGCTGGGATTACAGGCTTGAACCACCTGTGTCCGGCTGGAAAGAATTTTAAAGAGTGTGAAGAGACAAAGGACTCATGTCTGGAATGTATGAAGAATGCTCAGAACTCAGCAGTACAAAAAGCAAGATCCTATGAGAAAACGGGGGAAAGACAGGAAGAGACATTTCATCAAAGAAGATACACGAAGACAAGCAAGCACGTGAAAACATCTTTGGTATCATTAGCCGTCGGGGAAATACAGATTAAAGCTACAGTGAGAGTGTATTATATGCTTCCCAAAATGGCTAAAATATTTTAGGTTAGTGCAAAAGTAATTGCAGTTTTTTGCCATTACTTTCAATGTAGTGGTGAGATCTTGGCTCACTGCAACCTCCACCTCCCGGGCTCAAGCGATCCTCTGTCCTCAGCCTCCCAAGTAGCTGAGACTACAGGCATGTGCCACCATGCCCCGCTAATTTTTGTATTTTTTGTCGAGATAGAGTTTTGCCATGTTACCCAGGCTGGTCTCGAACTCCTGAGCTCAAGTGATCTGCCTGCCTCAGCCTCCCAAAGTGCTGAGATTACAGGTGCGAGCCACTGCGCCCAGCAGCAGTTCCTTAAAACACGAAACATGTACTTACCATATGATCCAACAGTTGCATCCCAGGCACTTATCTCAGAGAAATGAAAACTTGTGTCCTCACAAAAACCTATACATGATTGTTCGCAGCAGTTTTATTTGTGGTAGCTCCAAACCGGAAAGAACCAAAATGTTTCTCAGAACGTCCCACGTCAGCTTCCTAGTTTTGATATTGTACTGTAATTATGGCAGATGGAACCATTGGGAGAAACTGGATGAAGGATACGAGGGACGTCTCTGTACTATCTTTGCAACTTCCTGTGAATCTATAATCATTTCAACACAAAACGTTTTTTAAAGAGTGTAGAAAAACTGGCAGTTTCAGACACTGGATATGAAAATGTGCCTTGGCAAAACACTTTCTGGAAGGTTATTTGACAGCATGTTATCAAAAGCCAAATCCAATTCTATAATTTATTTTTAAAAAGTCATGGAGAGATATAAAGATGTATGTATAAGGATGTTCATCACAATATTAATCACAATGGGAAAAACTGGAAAAAACCTAGATGCCCTAGCAATAGGAAGTGATTAAATAATTTATGGTACATCCATTCAGTGGAGTAATATGTAGCTACTAAAATGCTTAGCACATGTTTTCTCTATATGCGTGTGTATATATATACGTGTGTGTATAGATGGATGTATGTATGAATAGATGTTTGCAATGTATAATTGAGTGAGGAAAGCAGTTAGCTGAACAGTAAGTACAATAGGATCTTTTTTTTTCTTAGTAAAAGCATTCATATAATTAAGTTATATATGTCTGGAAAATTTTTTTTTTGGGCGGGGGTGCGGGGCAGTGTCTCACTGTCACCCAGGCTGGAGTGCAGTGGCATGGTCACAGCTCACTGCAGCCTCAACCTCCCAGGTTCAAGAAATCCCCCTACCTCCGCCTCTCACGTAGCTGGGACCACAGGCAGGCACCACCATGCCTGGCCCATGCCCTGCTAACTTTTTTTCTTTTTTCTTTTTTGTATGTTTTGAGAAAAGATCTGGTTCTATTACCCAGGCTGGAGTCCAGTGGCATGATCATGGCTCACTGCAGACTTGACATCCCAGACTCGAGGGATCCTCCTGCCTCAGCCTCCTGAGTAGTTGGGACTACAGGCATGCACCACCACACCCAGCTAACTTTTAAAATTTTATGTAGAGACAGGCTCTCATTTTGTTACCCAGGCTGCTGCTAATTTTTTAAAAAGCTTTTTGTAGAGACAAGGATCTCACTGTGCTGCTCAGGCTGCTCTCAAACTCCTAGGCGCGAGCAGTCCCCCTGCCTCGGCCTCCCAAAGTGCGGGGATTACAGGCATGAGCCACCACACCTGGCCTGGAAAAAGAAAATAAAAGTCTGCACCGAGAGCTTCACAATAGGTATTTTTAGGTAGTAGGAATTTGGATGACTTTTTGCCCTTAACTTTTCTTTCTTTCTTATAATGAACATGGATTACATGTGCGATTAAAAACATACATAGTTTTTAAAGTAGGTGTCTGGTTTCTTTGATCTTCTCCACCCTCACTGCTCTCTCCCTCTTTTGCCTTAGATGGTGTCGTGTTGGTTGATCCTGATCTCGTGAAGGGAAAGAAAGGTGAGATGAAGCCCTTGTCTCAGGCTGGTTTCTGGGTGGAGTGGGCTGCTCTCTGGGCGACTCTGGGAAGGGGCATTTACGTGGAAGGAGAGACAGGAAGGCAGAGGCAGCGCTCTTGCACATGGAACCAGTGCCAGGCCCGTTGACCCACACTCCCGTACCTAATTCACGTGACATAGGTCCCGTTGACACCAGAGCTCACTCGCTCAGCAAAGTCATTGTCCAGGGTGGCAGATAAGTAGATGGTAGATGGAGCCCAGGTCTGTGGCCCCCATCCGTGTGTGCTAGCCCCTGTATCGTCTACTTCTGTGCTAGGGCAAACTCAGGAGGGCGCCTGGGGTGCCTGGGACTCAGGAGGACACCAGACCTTGAATGAATGAGGACAGAGTGAGCGGACAGTGTTTCTTCCGAGTCAGTGGTGAGGGGCAGTTACTGTTGGGGCTGACGGGCAAAATTCTCAACCAACACCAAAAAGGGGCAAATGATGCCTGCCGGGAGACAGGGGGAGTAAGACCCGGAATTTATGATGGCGCTTACTTTGGTGGTTCTGAACAAGTGTCACGGTGCCCTTGAAGATTTCTGGCAGTTTTGATGTGTGTGGTAAGTAATTTGTTACTAATAACAGTTGCGTAAACCAAATTAGAACAGATTCCAGCTATCCTTGTGATAATGTCACTGACTCAGTTCCATTCTAAATATGCCTTTTTGAGTGTTGCTACTGGCAACATCAAGGAATTGTTGAGAACCCTGGATGTGCCACTGGAATATGTCAGCTGTGGGGCCATCAGCATCGAGAGGGGCATGGCTGAAATGGGGCCCCAAACGGCCCCCTCTGTCCTCTCCACCTTCCTCCTGGATGCCCTGCTCCTCTCTGTACCAGGAGACATCTGAAAGCCCGTATCCTTGACCAGAGAATGGCGCCTGTTCTCAGGGAAAGCCACAGCACAGGACAGCTGTCAAACCGGGTGGTCTCTGGGCACCTTCTTAGTCCTGACTTTGAATGAGGGGCGAGTGAGTGGCCACCGTTTCTTCTGAGTCAGCAGCGAGGGGCAGTTACCTTTGAGGCTCACAGGCAAAATTCTCAACCAACAGCTGCCAGCACTTGGAGGGGCCACCTCAGACGCGCTTTATATTTGAGAGATACATGCTTCGTGTCTTTTTTAGAAGGCGTAGTGAACTTCCATACGATTCTTTTAGTCCACTGGGCGCGCACTTTAAGTCTGTTCAACAAGTGGAATTGTCAGAAGTGGGGGTTTGGAGCACGCTCAGTATGTTTCAGAGCAGTGTGAAAAGGAGGCTGGAACTCGAGCCTTCTCAAGTTGGACTTCGCCTCCCCGTGTGGCCTGTGAGCCTTCTGGCTCCTCGCTTAGCCCACGATTGACTCCGGCCCACATCTGCTTGGCTGCCCAGCACTGTTTCCCTCTGCATCTTACCTTCCTCCTTCATTCGTCCAGACACCCTGCCCGCCAGAACGTGAGCAGCCAGCACTGTCTCAAAGCCTCTGAGGCCACGGAGCTAGGGAATGAAGGGGGCGGGCAGGATGGAGGGGACTGGGTCCTCTGTCTGCAGATTCCTACCATTCTGACAATATGACACAATTGGGAGGGAGATGCCAGGATCTCCGGTTAGAGTGGTAAACCCTTACGAAGGGGCTGATTCTCCAGAGCGGTGTGGAGTAGCTGGGTGGCAGGGTTCTCTCCAGTCCCAACCCGCATCCTTTCCAGATGCTAAAAGTTGAAAACCCGGGCCCGCTACCCACTCCATCAGTGGTGGTGGGTGCCAGGCCGAGTGCCAAGTCCAACCCTGCCTTCATCTCCTTTGCAGTGTATGTCACTCTGACCTGCGCCTTCCGCTATGGCCAAGAGGACATTGATGTGATCGGCCTGGCCTTCCGCAGGGACCTGTACTTCTCCCGGGTCCAGGTGTACCCTCCTGTGGGGGCTGCGAGCACCCCCACAAAGCTGCAAGAGAGCCTGCTCAAAAAGCTGGGGAGCAACACGTACCCCTTTCTGCTGACGGTGGGTGACTCCTCCAGCCGGCCCTGCTTCCTTCACCCGCAGCACCTTATCATGTGGGTGGGGGCAAAGGGAAGGGGACAGAGGAAGAACTTCACATCCGCGGGCCTGGAAATTGCACCCTTGAAAGAAATTCTAGATTGCATGGTCTGTGATTGTCTTTTTTTAAGTCTTTGAAAATAGCCTCTCAGCCTTTGAAGACACCCTTTCAACCTACCGTTTACATATTTCCCTTCACCCGACCCCCTAATTACATGAGCACGTGTTATTCCTTTGCTTGCTAAGCTGGAAAAAGCAAGCTCACAGAAGTGCCTCTCGGCCCTGGGGAGTTCTGAGCAGGAAAGGGTTCCCTACGGGACGGGAGAGCTTAGGAAAGTAAGATGTCATCCTTTCCCTTGCCTGCAGATTGGGGGATCACAGGAGATATCTTCATCTTTCTGGGGGCCCGTCTCTCATCCATTGAGACCTGGCTACCTACGGTGCCAGTGTGCAAACTCTCTGAAGTCTTGGGCGTGAGCTCAGCTGGGAAAGCTACCATTCCCTTTATTAGCATGTTTATTTGTCTTAAGAGCATATACACTTCCAAAGTAACATGGTTCAGCCTTAAAAAGGAATGAAATTCTGTTCTGTGCTACACCATGGATGAATCTTGAATACGTTATACTAAATGAAAGGAGCCAGACACAAAAAGACAAATACTCGATGGTTTCGCTTACAGGAGATACCTGGAGTATCAGATTCATACCGACAGAGACAGAATAGTGCTTCCCACAGGCTGGGGGGTTGGAGGATGGGGAGTTGGGGTTTAATGGGAACAGAGCTTCAGATTGGCATGATGAAAAACGTTCTGGTGATAGATAGTGGTGATTACTGCAGAATACTGTGAATATACTTCATGCCAATGAACCATAAAAATAGTTTAAATGGTACATTTGATGTCATTCTATGTTTATCACAATTGTTTTACAAAATCACATTTATGAAAAAGTTATATGGTCCTGGGTGCTCCCATATACTTGTGCTGGGAGTTTGAAGTGACATAACCTTTTAGAGCCAGTATGTCAACATGTATTGAAAGCCTTTAAAAATGTGCTTCTCCGAGATCAGGAGATTGAGACCATCCTGGCTAACATGGTGAAACTCCATCTCTACTAAAAATACAAAAAAAAAAAAAAAAAAAAAAAGGTGTACTGGTGGGCGCCTGTAGTCCCAGCTACTTGGGAGCTGAGGCAGGAGAATGGTGTGAACCCGAGAGGCAGAGCTTGCAGTGAGCCGAGATTGTGCCACTGCACTCTAGCCTGGGTGACAGAGCGAGACTCCATCTCAAAAAAAAAAAAAAAATGTGGTTCTCTTTCTAGCAGTGCAGCCTATATAATTAATTGGCTAAAACTGATTTATTACAGCATTGTTTATAATGGCAAAAAAAGTAAAGACCACTTCAGTAGCCAGCAAAGGGGACTGGCTACATTAAATGTATATTCTAGAGCCCTAAAGCAGATGATTCAGAACTATATTTTATGATGTGGGAAAATGGTCACAATCCTTTCTGAAAAGGACTAGAATTAATGAAGTGAGTAAACAGACTACAGAACATGATCAGTACTTTGTCCCATTTCTGTAAAATGTCTTCTCACATACACATATTTAGGTGTGGCCAGGTGCGGTGACTCACGCCTATAATCCCAGCACTTTGGGAGGCCAAGGTGGGTGAATTACTTAAGATCAGGAGTTTGAGACCAGCCTGGGCAACATGGTGAAACCCCATCTGTAGCAAAAATACAAAAATTAGCCAGGCATGGTGGTGTGTGCCTGTAATCCTAGTTACTCAGGAGGCTGAGGCCTGAGAATTGCTTGAACCCGAGAGACAGAGGTTGCAGTGAGCCAAGATCATGCCACTGCGCTCCAGCCTGGGTGACAGAGAAAGACTCCATCTCAAGACAAAACATACATATTTATGTGTACAGGCAGGAAATTTTGGGAAGGTTATGTTAGCAACATGTATTTGGGTGTCAGGAGTATAGGTGAATGTTTTTTTCTTGCTTATCATCTTTATTTTCTAATTTTTACATGATTATATATTACCTATGGAACAGCCCCTTCTGAAATAAATGATTTTTCATTTGTTTCTTTCCACAGTTTCCTGACTACTTGCCCTGTTCAGTGATGTTGCAGCCAGCTCCGCAAGATACAGGAAAGGTTAGTTCAAGAAGAAATGCCATGGTTTCATGGATTTGTTCATTCCTTCAATAGACTTTTTATTTTTTTATTTTTATTTTTTTCTGAAACAGGATTTTACTCGGTTGCCTATGCTGGGGCTCAGTGGCGCAATCTTGGTTCACTTCAACCTCTGCTTTCTGGGCTCAAGTGATTCTCCAGCCTCAGCATCCTGAGTAGCTGGGGCTACAGGTGTGTGCCACCATGCCCAGCTAATTTTTGTGTTTTGTGTGGAGACAGGGTTTCACCACATTGACTAGGCTGGTCTCAAACTCCTGAGCTCAAGTGATCTGCCTGCCTTGGCCTCCCAAAGTGCTGGGATTACAGGTGTGAGCCACCGCGCCCGGCCCATTAGTCTTTTAAAGATAGCTTTTCATCACGGAAAATTTCAAACATACCCAAAAGTAGAGTGACCAGTATAAAGATCTTCTATGAACCCATCACTCATCTTCAGCAATTATTAACCATGAACATCCTTGTGAACAAAATCACAGAGTCCCGACCCCCATGAGTCTTGCACATTAACCGAGAGCACCAGGTAAACCCAAATAACAAGGAACTACACGGCATGTCAGGTGGCCACAGATGCTGTGGAGAACAAGAGGCTTGTGAGAGGCAATGGGAGTATCTGGTGGGATGTGTGTTGAGGGTGTTTAAAGCCAGCCTCTAATGAGGCCAAGGAGAAAGCCACACTCTCCCAGGGGAGAGCCTTCCAGGTAGAGGGCACACCTCGCCTGCTGTGTTCCGGGGGCAGTGAGGAGGCTGCCTCCTGAGTGAGAGGAGCAAGGAATGGAAGAGGAGGCCAAGTGCAGTGACTCAGGCCTGTCATCCCAGCACTTTGGGAGGCTGAGGCGGGTGGATCAACCCAGGAGTCAAGACTAGCCCGGGCAACGTGGCAAGACCCCATCTCTACAAAAAAATACAAAAAATAGCCATGATTGGTGGCACATGCCTGCAGCCCCAGCTACTTGGGAGGCTGAGGTAGGAGGATCACTTAAGCCCAGGAAGCAGAGGCTGCAGTGAACTGTGATCATGCCATTGCACTGCGCTCTAGCCTGGGCGACAGAGTGAGACCCTGTCTCAAAAACAAACAAAAAAAAAGAAAGTGGGAAGCTGAGGTTAGAGTGGAAGGGAAGGTGTGGCCAGATCACGAAGGGCCTTGTCAATGTTGTAGAGACTTGGGTTTTTGCCTGAATGAGATGGGAGCCATTGGCAGGCTATGAATGACAGGCGCTAACTTTCCAAACAGTCACTATGGCCACAGAGTTGAGAATGGAGTTGAGTTGGCTAAGCATGTGATTTGGGGGCTGAGGGTGTGTGAGAGAGGAGTGAGGCAGGTGGACAGGGCTCCAGCGTCGAAGGAGGCAGTAGGGACAGGAGGAGAGGGAGGTGCCAGGACCTGTGGGTTCAGTCCCCGTAAGCCACTGGATCTGGGATTCATGAGGAAGGGAGCTACACAGATACAACTGAGGGCAGAGTGGCAGGTTCTGTAGCTGGATTATGGGCTGGGCAGTGATAGGTGATGACAAGGGCAGTGTTTTTGTCCTGGGGCATCTGACCTGATAGCGGTTTGTGAAATCAATGTTGTGGATCCAAAATGGCATTTTTAAAAACAGAATGGAATGGAATGGAATGGAACAGGCTGGGTGCAGTGGCTCACGCCTGTTATCCCAGCACTTTGGGAGGCTGAGGTGGGCAGATCACCTGTGGTCAGGAGTTTGAGACCAGCCTGGCCAACATGGTGAAATCGCGTCTCTACTAAAAATACAAAAATTAGCCAGGCATGTTGGTGGGTGCCTGTAATCCCAGCTACTCAGGAGGCTGAGGTAGGAGAATTGCTTGAACCTGGGAGGCGGAGGTTGCAGTGAGCCGAGATTGTGCCACTGCACTCCAGCCTGGGCATCAGAGCAAGGCTCCATCTCAAACAAACAAAAAACAAACAAAAAACCCACAAAAATTAGCTGGGCATGGTGGTGCGCTACTCGGGAGGCTGAGGTGGGAAAATTGCTCAAACTTGGGAGGTAGAGATTGCAGAGAGCTGAGATTGCGCCACTACACTCCAGCCTGAGCGACAGAGCAAGACTCCATTGGAAAAAAAAAAAAAAGAATACAATAGAATAGAATAGAACAAAACGGAATGGATTGGAAAATCTCAGAGTGGGTCACACATGGTGAAGCTGAATATGGTATCAGGAGAGTTGTTTCAGATGTTTGTGTCTGTTTACTGGGCTATGTTACAAATCCAACTTTCAGAACATCTCGAAGCTACTGGTCCAGGAAAATGGGGTGGGGTGTGCGCAGTCGAGATGGGGGAAGACGAGGTGATTACAGAAGAAGGGGGCACAGAACAATGGGAAATGAAATTGGTTGTGTTAGATCTTATAGTTTTCTGTAAGAGAGACCCCAAATTCAGATTTTTAGGTGACCTTTCTTGATTTTTACAACACTGTACAGGCCCAACAAAGCACCACCTGTTTCCTGTTCTAGGAGAGGAGAAGGTCTTAGCACAGCTGCCGGGCTTCAGGAAAGGGGGCGAGCCCTGAGCCCAGGGAGCTTGAGAGAAGTGCCTGAATGCCTGGGGGCCTGGGGGCTCGACAGCTGAGGAACCCAGGTGGGCAAGCAGAACAGGCGCTGCTGTGGCTGAACAATGGCTGGCTGATGGCAGGGAAGGATGCGTATTTATTTTCCACCTAGAGTTTAGAACTGCTATGGTTCCCTGGTTGCAGAACCGATAAATCCGTGCTTCATATGTCACCATGGACTGAACTGGCTTCCTGTAATTTTTGTCAGCTCTCCTTTCCCCTCCAGGCAGTGATGGAGGGCAGGCTGGTGCCCTCCTCTGGCTCCCCAACACCTGTGAACGTGCAGAGATGAGGGAGGTTACCGAGGGCTTGCACTGGGGGCCAGGGGCTTCACACACTGGGAATCGGGGGAAGGTCACTGGCAGATGTGTTCATTCAACCCACACAATGCTTAAAAGTCTTTTTATTTAATTTAAAAACTAGGAGATTTCACTCCAAATTCCACGTGGAGTTTCTTTTTAAAAAATCGAGCTGGCTGGGCGCGATGGCTCACGCCTATAATCCTAGCACTTTGGGAGGCCAAGGCAGGCAGATCACGAGGTCAGGAATTTGAGACCAGCCTGGCCAATATAGTGAAACCCCAACTCTACTAAAAATACAAACATCAGCCGCGCATGGTGGCGCATGCCTGTAATGCCAGCTACTCTGGAGGCTGAGGCAAGAGAATCGTTTGAACCCAGGAGGCAGAGGTTGCGGTGAGCCGAGATCACACCACTGCACTCCAGCCTGGGGGCAACAGAGTGAGACTCTGTCTCCAAAAAAATAAAAAATAAAAAATAAAAAATCGAGCTGCCAGCACTGGGTGCCTTGCTGCCTGGCCACATGAGGCTGCCGCTGAACAGCAGGTGACCATGGGGGTCAGGGTTTCATACTATATCAGGGGATTCCTGGACCCCAGCGCTGGCCCTGTGAGTGCCTGTACCTCTGGCCCCTGCTGTAGGCAGTGGAAGTCAATAACATGTGCGGGGTCACAGTTGGGGACGCCTAAGTGTGCAAGGTGGCGGGAGGCAAGGACAGCGAGGATGCGAGTGACTCTCCACGGCAGCAGGAGGGCTCATGGGGCAGGCGGATCCCCTCCCTCTGAGGGCTTTGGGCCCATGGCACACTCCTTGTGCTACTGTCATTGTTTCACTGTTAGTATGCTTCCAAATCCCTGAATGGTGCAACCCCGAATAGGACACGGCCAAGACAAAAAGAGATAGTGCCACGTCACGTGCCCTACGTGAGGTGTGGCCCTCTGGCCCGGCACCCAGGGCGGGAGGCGCTGATCGCTGCCTGTCTGCTCTCTCTTCCCAACAGTCCTGTGGGGTTGACTTTGAGGTCAAAGCATTCGCCACAGACAGCGCCGATGACGAAGAGGACAAAATCCCCAAGAAGTAAGAGTGTGGTTGTGGAATAGGTGAGGGGTCTGCGGTGGGGGTGGAGAGAAGAAATGGCCTTACCTTGTCTCTGTGGGACAGAACTCTTCCCACAGGGCTGGCACAGCTGGGGTACCATCTGCATGTGGGATAGAGGTCAAAGGTTGATCATTTTTGGGAAAAAAAATACAAGAAAATGACAGGGAAGTTAGCAACCTCCAGGGCTCACGTAATCCTGTGAAACTCCCAGGTTTCTCCTTTCTTTAGGTTTTTGGTTTGTTTGTTTGTTTTTTGTGGTAAAATATACACAACATGAAGTTTGCCATTTTAACCACTTTTGTATTTTATTTTATTTTGCTTTTGGAAGTGGAGCCTCGCTCTGTCGCCCAGGCTGGAGTGCAATGTGACCTCGGCTCACTGCAACCTCCGCCTCCCAGGTTCAAGCAACTCTTCTGCCTCAGCCTCTCGAGTAACTGGGATTAAAGGTGCCCGCCACCACACCTGGCTAATTTTTTTTTTTTTGTATTTTTAGTAGAGACGGGGTTTCACCATGTTGGCCAGGCTGGTCTTGATCTCCTAACCTCAGGTGATCCGCCCGCCTTGGCCTCCCAAAGTGCTGGGATTACAGGCGTGAGCCACTGTGCTCGGCCCATTTTAACCACTTTTAAATGTACCATTCAGTGGCTTAAGGACATTCCGAATGTTGTGTAGCCATCACTGCTGTCTATACTCAAAACTTTCTCATTGCCCGAGCAGGAACTCTACAACCATTAAGCCTACCGTTCCATCCCTCCCATTCTCCCACCCGCGTGCTGTTTTCTTTTTTTACCTAAACAAGGTTTCCGCCTGGCCCTTCACCCAGTCTCCTCCTGCCCCATGTACACATCTCTGGAGGCGCAGGAGAGTGAGCTGCAGTAATGGAGCTTGCATGTATATCGCAGCTATTCCATGAGGTCCTTGATGCCCTCACACCTCAGCCTCTCGGAGAGGAGGCAGAGCCGGGAGCCCATGGAGCCTAAGAGGCTAAGCTTGGCCCTTGGGACGTTGCCTGGCCCCACAGCTTTCGCCCCAGGGAAGGGACCAGAAACCAGACCCCCAGGCTCTCCCACCGTCAGGGCTGCCTCAGGCTCTGACCAGTGTCCTTGCCCTCTTTCCGTCCACCCTGTCTCCATGTGGAGTGTTCCTGGAGAATCCCCGTGTGACAGTTGGGAGAGAACAGAGGCCTCCCTGAAGCGGCCTGGGTGCCAATCCCTGGCTTGTCTGTGGCTGTTCCCCGCAGGAGCTCCGTGCGGTTACTGATCCGGAAAGTACAGCATGCCCCACTTGAGATGGGTCCCCAGCCCCGAGCTGAGGCGGCCTGGCAGTTCTTCATGTCTGACAAGCCCCTGCAGCTTTCGGTCTCTCTCAGCAAAGAGGTAACCACCTACCATCGCTACTACCCACAGGGCAGCAGGCCTGGGGGCAGGCCCCACACCCCCTCTTCACCAGCCCCAGTCCCTGTCTATGTGGGTGCCTTGCAAGGAAGCTTGTTTTTAGGATAAAGCACCAACATGCGTAAGTGATTGGCCTGTTTTCACAGCCTGGAGCTGGTCAGCATGGTCCTTAGTGGAGGGTTTCCACCTACTGGCTGTCCCCAGGGACTGGGGAAGGAAGGGGCGCTGCTTTGCACATACCTGCCCCCCAGCTATCCTTGCCCTCTCCACCTCCATTGGCCTTGTTCACCAGGGAGCATCAATAGCTGTGATATCGCAAATTCTTCACTTCCTGGGAAATTTAAATTTTGCAGAAACCATATGGGATGGCGGTGTCACCTATGATGTCATCTCTTAGGGGTGTCATGGTGGGAAAAGGTGAAAGCTGCTGGCTGAGGCTGCCTCTGGTTCCTCTGGTCAGCAGTCAGCCGTGTGTGCACTGTGTGTGCATACATGTGTGTGGGTGTGCCCAGGGGCTGGGTTACACGGGCTCTGCTGGGCGGGATGCCAGCACTTGGCTTTCCCAGTGGTTTCCTTTCACTTCACTCATCCTGCCCCCATCACCTCCTGACCCCTGGCCTCCTCCATGGGATGACTGGAACTCCATCCCCTCCCTAGCTTCCCACAGGTGGGTGGAATGTGTTTCAGGCCCTTCCTTGGAAGAAACGTATTGCTATCACTTCATCTTCCTTACATTCTGCCGCTTTTCATCTAGTGAAAGGGATTGAGATGAATCTAGAAAGCTGTGAGATTAAAGATACCACCACATCTGTTCTCTTCTTCTGACCTGTCTGCTGACTTTTCCAGATCTATTTCCATGGGGAACCCATCCCTGTGACCGTGACTGTCACCAATAACACAGAGAAGACCGTGAAGAAGATTAAAGCATTCGGTAGGACCTTCTTCTCAAAAGTAGAGGGTAGTCTTCTAGAGTTTCTGATCCTGTTTCCTAAGGGGTCACTTCTCTGGTCTGACAAGGCCCTTCTGGGTCCTTGGAACTGGCTACTTGTCTCTGCCGTCATAGGCAGCAGGACTGTGGAGGGAGAAAGGCCTTACAAGTCATCTCAGTCAACTTCCTGCCCACTTATGGCTGGCTTTTGTCTTGGAACAAAATTCCTGACAAGTGATCTTTTTCCATGGTCATGCCTTCCTGGAGGGGCCCACAGTGCTCGGCATTGCTGACAGGTGCAGCACAGTGTCATGGGTGAGGCCTAATTTGTGGATTCCTGCTGTGGGCTCTGTGATCCCAGCATCTGCAGCAGGGGCTCCTTGTCTGCCTTCCCAGGCTTTGTGTGGCTCTAAGGAGAGGTCCCATGTGGAGGCGCTTTGTAAATGTTGAAGTGTGACTGTCTCGGCTGAAATGGCCATCATGTCATGGCTGACCCTGCCATATCCTACAGGGGAGGTGCCTTTGCCTGCTGTTCCCACACATTAACTAAGCTCAAAGGGCATCAAAGCACAGGGGGTCATATATGATGGTCTTACGTGGCTCTTTTACGAGAAAGACATGATGGAATCACCTGTGAGGGTAACCTCTAAGTTCAGTTTTTAACTCAAACATTTGATGACCGAGACAAAATGAGACTTATACATCTTGGGGTGACTAACTATCCCAGGTGGCCCAGGACTGAGGATGTGGAACTTCCAGTCCTAAAATGGGCTATCCCAGGCAAGCCAGGGTGAGCAGTGGCCATAGGTGTCATATACCACTTTTCCCTGTGAGTCATCACAGATGAGGGTCAGCAACTCTGATGCGTGCAGGCTAAGAAATTCTAGACGTTTCTTTTCCTTCCTTCCTTCCTTCCTTCCTTCCTTCCTTCCTTCCCTCCCTCCCTCCCTCCCTCCCTCCCTCCCTCCTTCCTTCCTTCCTTCCTTCCTTCCTTCCTTCCTTCCTTCCTTCCTTCCTTCCTTCTTTTTTTGACAGAGTCTCCCTCTGTTGCCCAGCCTGGAGTGCAGTGGTGTGATCTCGGCTCACTGCAACCTCCACCGCCTGGATCAAGCCATTCTCCTGCCTCAGCCTCCCAAGTAGCTGGGATTACAGGCATGCACCAATTTTGCCCAGCTAGCTTTGTATTTTCAGTAAAGAGGGGGGTTTCGCCATGTTGACCAGGCTGGTCTCAAACCCCTGACCTAAGGTGATCCACCCGCCTTGGCCTCCCAAAGTGCTGGGATTACTGGCATGAGCCACTGCACCCAGATAGCTGTTAAATTTTTAAAAACAAAATAGTAATTGCTTTCTATAGACTGGGCACTGTGCTGCATACCTTGCACAAATTGTTTCTTTATCCTCAAACTTTGGCTGGGTGTGGTGGCTCACCCCTGTAATCCCAGCATTTGGGGAGGCCAAGGTGGGAGGATCCCTTGAGCCCAGGAGTTCAAGACCAGTCTGGGCAATGTAGGGAGACCCTGCCTTTATTATTATTTTTTTAATCCTCAAACTTAATTTTAAAGGTGATTAAAAGTCATCTTTTTAATCATCACAACGTCCCTATGAGTTAGATGCAGTTATTACCCCCATTTTACTGATGAGGAAACTGAGGCTTAGAATAGCTAAATAATTCACCCCACAGTTAGTGGCTAAGCCAAGATTGGCACCCAAACAGCCTGGCTCCAGGCCCACCTTCCTATCCACCGCGTTCCACCCACCAATCGGTCCTGTGCTGCCTCTAACTAGTCTCTTGGAGGACAGGAAGGACAATGTTCATGAAATAAGATGGAGGGTGTTAGATGGGGCTAAGCATAGGAAAGGAGGAGTCTCCCAGGAGCTGCAGCCTGGGAGTTGCAGGCACTGGGCTATGGGTGGGAGTTGATACAGAGCAGGTTATGGGTGACCAGAAATGACCTGGAGACAGAACTTCAAAACCACAGCCTTGAAGCTGAGGGCTGAGAAAGCCAAGCCTGGGAAGTGGAGGGAAACCATCATCAGAGAGGAGAGACCAGCGTGCACCCTGGGAGGCCGCAGGGAATGTGCATGTGTTGGGGGACCAGTGCTGACCACCTGACTCCCGTCTTCCTCTTGCAGTGGAACAGGTGGCCAATGTGGTTCTCTACTCGAGTGATTATTACGTCAAGCCTGTGGCTATGGAGGAAGCGCAGTGAGTAGCTGGTGGGGTTTCCATTTCCTGGGCGTCTCAGCCTTCTGTGTCAAGTTTCTCACCGGTTATTGCTGAAGAGGGAACTAGAATGTTCAGCTAGCTCACCAGCCTTCCACTTCCTTCCTCTTTCTCCCTTCGAGGGCTGCACAGAAAGTGAGCATCTTATCTCTGCATCTACCACACCCCTCTGTGCCCATCTTACAGGAGTTCTGAGGATTAATCCTAGCCAAAGAATGATGCTGAGGAGAGACATAAAGACAGAAATGTCACCGTGGGATCAACTGGCTTTTCCTATTTATCCTTGGAATGAATTGTTAGGAATTTGATACTATTTCTGTCTCCCAGAAGATGGTCAAATGAACTGTCAGCCCAGGCTAGGATTCCTTATCTTTTAATCTCAAATTGAACATCGTAATACCAGTGACAGCTGGATTATAATATATCCATTCTTAGCCGGTTGTTGTGAATGACTTTTCCCCTTTGTTAGAATCAAAAACAAATGAGAATCCTGCCATGGTTCCTTTATGCTGGCCTGAGAGACCTGCCCAGCTTTGCCGTGTGCCACAAAGTCAATAGATTGATTTAACACATGGCTTGGAGTGGAGGGCGATGATCCCCCACCTCCAGCCCCACAAGAGGATAGCTTGGCCAGGTCTTAACTCTTTGCCTCGCTGGCATGTTCTAAGCACCGTTGTATGTAAAAAATATTAGCAGGGTTAGAGGAAGGTTAGGGTAGGGGAGTGATGAAAGACAAACTGATTCCTTAAGATAATATAAAGTAATAGAGATATTTTTTTGAGATGGAGTCTCACTCCGTTGCCCAGGCTGGAGTGCAGTGGTGAGATCTCGGCTCACTGCAACCTCCACCTACCAGGTTCAAGCCATTCTCCTGCCTCAGTCTCCCAAGTAGCTGGGATTACAGGTGCCCGCCGCCACGCCTAGCTAAATTTTTTTTTTTTCTTTTTTGAGACAGAGTTTTGCTCTTGTTGCTCAGGCTGGAGTGCAATGGCGCGATCTCGGCTCACTGCAACCTCTGCCTCCCAGGTTAAAGCAATTCTCCTGCCTCTACCTCCTAAGTAGCTGGGATTACGGGGTCACACCACCACCCCTGGCTAATTTTTTGTATTTTTAGTAGAAACAGAGTTTCACCATGTTAGCCAGGCTGGTCTCGAACCCCTGACCTCAGGTATCTGCCCACCTCGGCCTCCCAAAGTGCTGAGAGATTACAGGCGTGAGCCACCGTGCCTGGCTGATTTTGTATTTTTAGTAGAGACAGGGTTTCACCTGTTGGCCAGGCTGGTCTCAAACTGCTGACCTCAGGTGATCTACCTGCCTCAGCCTCCCAAAGTGCTGGAATTACAGGTGTGAGCGACCACACCCAGCCTATACGGTAATATTTAAAAGGCAACTTTAGGAGAAACTATTACTGTTACTCAAAACAGATTCAACCTTCAGGTCTAGAAGGGAGGGAGACAGGAAAGAACCACCACTTATTGCCTCCTTTCTGCCAAGCCTGGGCTCTGTTCTGCCTTTAGGGGATCCTCACACATCCCTGTGTCCTGGGGGTCTTGGCCCTGGTTCACCTTTCCACATGTGCTCAGCAACATGGGCGCAAAGAGTCCTGGCCCAGTTTTCCCCTAATATGTATTCCATCACCTGGTCCTCTTTCAAAGTGTTGGGTGCATTTTGGGTCAAAGAGTCCCAGGAAACTGGAAAGCATCCCAAAGTCCCCCAAAGGCTGGAGGAGCCTGGGAGCTGGACTGGACCGTGCTGATGAGTCTCAGGCTAGAGGTCACTCGGAAGGCTGCAGAGCAGGAGCCATCGTCCCAGAGCCCTGTGGCTTCTGGGGCTTTGGTGGGCAGGCTTGCACGGAACCAGGTCAGACCTGACTCCCAAGCTGCTCCCCGCCGTCCAAACCCACATCCTGAAGCTCTGGGGAGCGGCCCCAGGGCCTAGACATAGTCCTTTGGCAAGCTCTGCACACACACACAAAGTCCATCCTCTGAGCCCAACCCCAAGGGCCCTCTTCCTATTCCAGCCATCTTTACAATGCTGTTTCTGCTTTTTTCAATGCCCAAATTATGCTCATGAAGAGAGGTTCTACTAGGACCCAGATGGTAGGATGTGGGCCACCTTGGGCTCTGGCAGATTTCCGGAAAGAGCATCCTGTAGACACTGGAGGCAGGATAGGCAACAGCTGCTTTTACCTATCCAGGGAAACTTGATTAGGGAAAGGAAGTCCTTTCCCAGAGAGGCAGTTCAGACTTCCAGCTGTCTCAGGACAGCCTTAGAATGGTCCTGATGCTGGCCACACCCCACCTTCTTCTGGCTAGGCACCGGAGGGAGGGTGTGCTGCAGGCACGAATGGGCTCTGCCGTCAGACAGTGTGCAGCCACGTGACCGTGAGCACACTTCCCGTCTGGAAAATGGGGATCTTGGGAGCACCTGCTTGGTACGGGGTTGATGAGGGTAAGGTGAAAGGTTTTTGGGGACAGGCCTTAGCACCAGGCCCGGCACACAGCACGCGTGTGAGCAGAGGAGCCAACTCCCCAGTTGCGGAGGCTGCTTCGTGATCCTGGCCGTGCTGCCATGTGTCTGCCTGGAGAAACACACACTGCTGTGTCCCCAGCTTGATCCCAGACCCGCCCATTGGCACAGGGTCCCCACCATCTGTCAGATGTTGAGAAATCTATACCCCGACTGATGTGGAAGAAGATCCAGTAGAGAAAAAACATGTGCTGTTTGGACCCAAGCCAGTCCGTCTGTGTGATCCACAAACTGTGGGTCCCTGCGTTGCCCCTCTAGACAACTTACCACACAGCCACACTGTGACCTCCTTATAGCGACAGTTTTTGGTGACAAGAGCCTTCCTGGCCTGGGCTCGTTGCTGACGCTAACCAGAAGGTTCTGCAGGCCACCGTGTGGTTCACAGTCTCAGGAGGAGACTGTGGTCTCTGACTCTCAAGCCAGTTGGTCTCATTAACTCCATAGAATATTCTAGAAATTCAGCAATTCAGAATAGGCTGAGTTGCTTGAAGCAATATCCTCCTTGTGCTGCCAGCCCACCCTGAGATTTCACAAGCACTGTTCTGCTTCTCGTAAGGCAAGTTCCCAGGCACCTGAACCCAGCTTCCCAGGAGGTCCATCAGGGGATACGGATCCCGGAAAATGCCTAATGTCAAATAGGGCCTCATGGGGCCCATGGCAGCTTTTATGGTTATAAATCTCCTCTGTTCTTCTTCCTCTAGAGAAAAAGTGCCGCCAAACAGCACTTTGACCAAGACGCTGACGCTGCTGCCCTTGCTGGCTAACAATCGAGAAAGGAGAGGCATTGCCCTGGACGGGAAAATCAAGCATGAGGACACGAACCTTGCCTCCAGCACCATGTAAGTCCTTGAGGCTCAGGGAATAGGCCCCGGCAGGGCGGGCTGGTGCTGGTCTGCTCCCCTTCACGTCACCCTGCTGGGCTCGCAGGCGCACACATGCAGCATGGTGGCCTGGCGTGTGTAGTGTGGACTGCATACCTAGGGGCCCAAACAAGGATCCCACTCTCACCCCTGGTGTGATGTGGGGGTTACGCCCGTGGGCCCTGGAGACAGCTGTGCGCTAATCCCAGCTCTGCTGCTGACCCTGGGAAAATGCCTTGAGTTCTCTGAGAACCTCAGTTTTCCTGTCTGTAAAGTGGGGGCAATAATAGTTCAAGTCTCATAGAGTGGCTATAAGGATTCAGTGAGACAGTCCATGTAAAGTGTGGGGCCTGACATACAGTGAGTGCTCCAGGAATGTCAGCTACTGTTTTTAGAAGCATCACTGGCTAGTGTAGTGCCCTAAGCATGTAAACTGAGTGATACTCTTGGCTGTATTCATTCATTCATCCATTTCCATCAGGAATTGTGAAGAACAGGAGGTCCTAATGACTTTAGATGTCCATTAAATTTAAATGAAATTAGGTACTGATCTGCTGACCCTGACTCAAAGGACCACTGGCTGAATTTGGGCAGCAGATCTAGCAAAGACTGTGCAGTGAAGTTCCCAAGTTAGCATCCGCTGTCCTTCTGAGCCATGCTTTTGCGCTTCCCTTCCCAGGAGCGTGTCTGTTGGTGAACTCTCAGAGTTTTGGGTTGGGGCCAAAACCCAGGCTCAGGGCCCACTCACTGCCACCTCCCTATGTGATGTGCTGGGGGTTCCCTCTGTGGCCCCAGTAGACCACCTCCAAGGTGATGCCAACGGCCGGGAGACTGGATTGTTTGACCCCAAGACCCTGACGCTCAGTACCTCACACTCTCAGACACCGAGAGTGGGGAGCAGTGAACAACTGGCAGAAAGCAGGTGGAAGTCAAAGGATTTTCTGAGGATAATTGGCCAAGTGACTGTGTTAGATTCCAAAGCACATTCGTTAACTCCAGGAGAGACTATCAGGGAAACTGAGAGCCTAGATCAATGCATTCAAGGGCGTAGGAATAATAAGATGAACAATGATGGCTCACTGCACTGTGGGAATGTTTCGTGGTGTGTGGACTAGTTTCTAAACATGTATGACTCGGCAGGGCATGGTGGCTCATACCTGTAATCCCAGCACTTTGGGAAGCTGAGGCAGGCGGATCACCTAAGGTCAGGAGTTGGAGATCATCCTGGCCAACATGGTGAAACCCCGTCTCTACTAAAAGTACAAATATTAGCTGGGCAGGACAGCAGGTGCCTGTAATCCCAGCTACTCGGGAGGCTGAGATAGGAGAATCGCTTGAACCTGGCAGGTGGAGGTTGTGGTGAGCCGAGATCACACCATTGCATTCTAGTCTGTTGACAGAGCGAGACTCCATCTCAGAAAAAAAAACAAAAAAACAAAACAAAACAAAACAAAAAAACATTTATGACTCTCTGCACCTCCATGAGGAAGGTATATTTATATGCATTTTATGGATAAAGAAATTGAGGTTGAGCCAGAATGAAAGACTTATCCAAGGTCACTAAATCAGTTAATAGCAGAGCAAAGTACACTCCACAGCAAATCTCCCAATCCAGGAAGATGCCAGGGAACAAAGTTTGCAGGGCGTTCTCAGGCAGGTGGCAGAGCACATTCTGTTCAGCAGCTGCTCGGCCCTATTCAGTGCAAGGTAGTTAGTCCCAGCTGGGGGCAGTAGCTCACACCTGTAATCCCAGCACTTTAGAAGGCCAAGGTGGGCGAATCGCTTGAGCCCAGGAGTTTAAGACCAGCCTGGCACGCATGGCCGGAAGGGCAGTGTCCGGCGCCGAGTGTGTAAAACAGTGAGGCGCTGGCATGTGGCACATGCTGTAGTCCAGTATTGAGCAGCCTGAGATGAGGAGACTGGGCGTGGGAGGCAAGTACGCCGCAGTTACCCGTATGATCATCCATCCCGTCCGCAGCCTGGTAAACAAAAGCAACCCCTCTCCAAAGCAAAAACAAAATAGAAAAAAAGTCATCCCAGCAAGGGAGGGAGCCTAAGTTTCGCCTTTTTTTCTCCCCTTTAAGGACATAGCAAGGTGGTACTTGGGCTTCATAGCGTCGCGAAGTCCAGCATAAAGGATATTCTGCCCTCTTTTTTAAAATTATTTTTTATTTATTTATTTTTTTTGAGGACGGAGTCTCGCTCTGTCGCCGCAGGCGGGAGTGCAGTCGGCGGATCTCAGTCGCACTGCAAGCTCGCGGCGCTCCCGGGTTTTACCGCCATTCTCCCTGCCCTGCCTCCAGAGTAGGCTGGGCTAACAGGCGCCCCGCCCACCTCACCGGCTAGTTTTTTGGTATTTTTTAGTTAGGGAGACGGGGTTTGCACCGTGCGACTCAGATGGTCTCGATCTCTTGACCTCCGTGATCCGCCCGTCGTGCGCCTCCAAAGTGCTGGTTTAGCTTACCCGCGCCGGCGCCAAAATTATTTTTATTTTTTTTTTCGGACAAAGTCTCACTCTGTCACCCAGGTTGGAGTGCAGTAGCGCAATCTTGGCTCACTGCAACCTCCGCCTTCCGGGTTCAAGAGATTCTCCTGGCTCAGCCTCCTGGGTAGCTGGGATTAGAGGCTCCCACCACCACACCTGGCTAATTTTGTACTTTCAATAGAGATGGGGTTTCACCATGTTGTCCAGGCTAGTCTTGAACTTCCTGAACTCAAGCGATCTGCCTGCCTCGGTCTCCCAAAGTGCTGGGATTAAAGGTGTGAGCCACCATGTCTGGCTATTCTGTCCTCTTTTAAAGGAGCTCCAGACACCAATGAGCTCTCTGGGGAGCACTGTGGTTCTAGAAACATGTGCCTGAGACACTTCCCCTCAGAGGCTCCCGAGCTGATGTCTTCTTCCAGGCCCAGCACCTGCTGGCCACCTCCCCAACTCTTTTTCCAGAGCTGTTCCACCCTCCCCTGCCTTCTGCCTGTAGCCTTCCGGTTTCTGGGCTTGTTTTCTGTCATTATTTACATGATTTTTGCTAGCATTCCATGACTTTTTTCATACCTTAATTCCTGTTATTGGATATCCTGGAGTACTCGTGTCCTCCACGTTGGAGCCCACGTGATAAGCATTGATGATGGAATGCCCAGCACAGTGCCTGCCAGATAGTAGGACTTCATTCAGTACATATTAGTGGGATCTGGAATGACATTTCTGTCAAGGAATGTCACATTGCACTGTCTTTGGGGACACATCTGAGGGTCTTGCACATCCTGCACATTCACTTAAATATTGACAGCTCTCACTTGGTGCCAGGTCTGATGTTGGGTGCTGGGGACACACAGCTAGATATCTTGGAAGGCAGGAGAGAAGGAGGGGTCATTCTGGTGCAGGGTTGTGTTGGCAAGTCTGGCGCGGGGGGCGCTGGGACACAGCTGAGGATGAAGTAGCAAAGGCAGGCCAGGGCAGCTTGCGGGCTGCTTCTGAGGCTGAACCTGCAGGTGGCCACAGAGCTCAGAGAAGGGGCCTGGTACGTGGGAGATGAGTTGCTGAGATAATCCAGGCAGGCAAAGCCTGCAGGAGGACTTGGGGACCTGCAGAGATGGCAGTTTTGGCAGGTGGTAGAAGGGAGGAGCTGAGGAGGATGACCGGGGGATGTGCATCTGTAGAGGTCAAGCACAGAGAAGGGGGATGCACACTCTGCCCTCTGGGAGCTTCTAGAGGAGAAGATGCAGGAATTCCTCCAGTGCCTGCAAGGAGTCCCCACACCCACTCCCCAAGTACGTGAACTTCTAGGACTTTGGCAGCTCAGTGAGTTTACCAGTCCCTGGAGAACCTCCATGACGGCGTGCCTGCCCGGAATGGAAAGGTTGCCCATCTGCTCTTCACCCTCCTCTGCTCTCCATCATCCTTCTCCTTTTCCTTTCTGTTTGGGCAGCATTAAAGAGGGCATAGACCGGACCGTCCTGGGGATCCTGGTGTCTTACCAGATCAAGGTGAAGCTCACAGTGTCAGGGTAAGTGTCCCGGCACCAACCCTCGGGCTGCTCTGTCCTGGTCTTAGATGGTCTGAACTGTTCCTTTCCTGAGTGACTGGGAGACAGAAAGCAAGGAAAGGCCCACAGCTTCTACCAAGGATTACCAAGTAGAGCTTGGGAGAGATTCTGTTTGTCTAGTACCATGCTTCTGTCTGATAAAATGTCAGGTGGGAAAGGGTGGAGAAGCAGACTCTGAAATGTGTGCACTCTTAGCTCCACTTTGCAAAAATACATGTGCATATGCGCATGTGGTGGAAGCTGATGTGCAAGAATGAAGATTAGTCAAAGGTTATCCTTCAGAAAAGAGTAACTGCTGTGAAATGACCCAGTAAATCTTCATGTATTTGCATCTTAGAAGGTATCGATCCATAAAGTAGGGACCTTCCCCTCCCTTCTCGCACATGTAATCACAGGGCGTAGGAGTCTTCTTTTCATACAAGAGTGCCAATATCTCAGAGTTTTAAGGGAACAGGTTTCCACTTTCATTTTCGTGTGAAACCAATTTCTTCCATTTGTTTAATCTTACCAAAAAGGAAAAACTTGAATTCTCATTTTTGTTTCAAGTTCCATTGCCAAAGACTCTGGCCTTTTACCTGGACAAGCCTTGAGCAGTTCTGCCATCAAAGGCAAGTCTGTGCCTAGGTTTCTTCACACTTCTTTTTTTTTTGGAGACGGAGGTCTTGCTCTGGCGCCCAGGCTGGCATGCGTGGCTGGATCCGCTGCACTGCAAGCTCCGGGTCCCGGGTTCCCCGCTACCCTTCTTCACTGGCCTTCAGCTCCCGGTAGCTGGGGACTACCAGGCGCCCGCACCTCGCCACCGGCTGTAGTTTTTTGTAATTTTTATTGTGAAGAGACGGGGTTATCGTGTGAGCCAGGATGGTCGCGTCCATCCCGGACCGTCGTGATCCGCGCCTCTGTGGCCTCCCAAAGGCTGGGATCTTACAGGGTTGAGCGCACCTGCGCGGCCGGGCCGGTTTCACATATTAGAGTGAGAATTCGCCGGCTGGCCCGGTGGCTCACGCCTATATCCAGCGGTTGGGAAGCCGAGCTGGCGCTGCTCACGAGGTCAGGAGATGTGACCATCCTGGCTAACAAAGGTGGGAAACCCTGTCTCTAAAAAATACAAGTATGTAGATGGGCGTGGGGGCCAGGAGCGCTGTAGCCCAGCTCTCGGGGGCTGAGGCAGCGAGAATGGGCGTGAGTGAGGCAGCACTGCAGTGAGCCGGAGATTGCGCCATGCACTCCACGCCTGGTCGACAGAGCGGACTGCCGTCTCGAAAAAAAAAAAAAATTTCCCTGTGAATAAAAATTAGGTTCAATAAAGAGTTTCCCAAATTTCTATCAAGTTAGAATCATGGGCTGTTTTCATTTTTCGTTAGTATGTGTTGTTTTTTTTTAATTTCTCACAGTGGATAGTTGCGATGATAAAGGATCTAACGTAGGTGGGTTTCTTTTCAGCCAGGTCAGGAAAGCACCAGCAGTATGTTACAATAACCTTTATGTGGTATTCTGGGTGTTTAGCTTGGCTTTTTTTGTGTGGTGAAGAGGTCACTCTGGAGTTGAGTCGTGTGTTCGTTCCTATCTGTGCAAACCTTCAGCTCCCCAGGGTTCACAGTATTCTCTCCTCCGCCTCCCGAGTAGCTGTGATTACAGGTTGTGTTGCCACCAACCTGCCTGGCTAATTTCTTGTATTTTTAGTAGAGACGGGGTTTCACATGTTGGCAGGTCTGATTCTTGGACTCCATGCCCTCAAGTGATCTGGCTTGCTTCATGCCTCCGAACGTTGCTGATTACAGGCGTGAGCCTACCACGCCCAACCAACTTTTTGTTTTTTGGACAGAGTCTTGTTCTGAAACTCGGCTGGAGTACAGTGGTATGATCTCAGCTCCATACAACTTCACCTCCCGGGTTCAGCAATTTCTCCTGGCCTCAGCTGGGATTACAGGCACCTGCCCCATGCCAGCTGGATTTTGTTGATTGTTTAGTACGAGATGGGGTTTGGTTGGGTTTTTTTGGTTGTTGTTGTTTGTTTTGTTTTTTTTGAGATGAGTGCTCACTCTGTCACCCAGCCTGCGAGGTGCAGTGAGACTTGATCGTCAGCTCACTGCAAAGCTCTGCCTCCAGGTTCACGCCATTTCTCCGTGCTCAGCCTCCCAAGTAGCTGGGAAACTTACAGGCACCACCACAGAACCTGAGCTAAGATGTTGTTTTTTTTTTTTGTTTGGTATTGTTTTAGTGGAGATGGGGTTCACCATGTGTAGCTAGGACGGTTCATTCTCTGACTCGTGATCCAGCAGTCCGCCTCCGGCCTCCCCCAAAGTGCCTGGATTTACATGGCGTGATCACGCCATGCCCAGCCCCTTTTAAACTGACTCACTCGTTGAGACGAGAGAAGTCACAAGTAACACCGCAGGAATGAAGTTGAACATTGAAGGGATGCAAAGACTTGGAGCGTTGTGAGTCTCGGCGTGCAAGGCCATGAAGGCTGGGCTCGTGTCCTGCCTCCTGAATATGGGAAAGGGTTGCGTTACCCACTGAAGTGACGTTACGACAGGCATGTTACTTTTGTGTTTTAGCTTTCTGGGAAGAGCTCACCCTCCAGGTAGAAGCCTGGTTTCACCGTTCCTGTTTGCTTGTTTTCTCAAAACTATCAAGGCCAGCAAACCTGGGGGGGCTCCAAAATGGTTTCGGTGAAAGCTGCCTTTCTGGCAGTTGTGCGTCAGGAGTGTTAGAATGATGTTTGCCTTCAGATGCATCAAGAGAACGCATTGGCTCATAGGCGTTTCTTTGGGACTTACATTTCTTTGGAACGCACGGCTAGACCTATGCCCTCGTGTGACGGACACACAATATGCACAGCTAGGGAATAACGTGTGCACCTGGACGCTGTTCAGCTGTGTGTTGTGTGTGGTAAAGATATCTATCATAAGACCCATATATTTTTGTACTGATTGTATTGGTGATTTATTTATGGTGAGTTTTAATTATGTTTGTTGGGACGGGGTATCGCTCGTCCCGTGTCGCCGCGAAGCCTGGTAGCCACCAGTGGACGTGATCTCGGCGCGGTCGAGATCGCGCGCCTCGCCGGGTGCAAGCTGAACTCCCTGCTCCTCAGGGCCTCGGCTGGTAGTGTAGGCGTGGGGATTTGGCAAGCGGTTGGTGCTCGATCGACCGCTGGCGTAATGTTTTTGTGGTTTTTGTCAGACGATGGTGCTTGTTGGCGTGTTGATGGTGGTCAGCGATGTTGGCCAGGCTGGTCTTGAACTCCTGACCTCAAGTGATCATCTTGCCTTGGCCTCCCAAAGTGCTGGGATTACAGGTATGAGCCACCACACACCTGGCATAAATTTTACCATTTTAACCGTTTTATTTATTTCTTTGAGATGGAGTCTTGCTGTGTTGCCCAGGCTCAAGTGCAATGGCATGATCTTGGCTCACTGCAACCTCTGCCTCCTTGGTTCAAGCGATTCTTCTGCCTCAGCATTCTGAGTAGTTAGGATTACAGGCTCACGCCACTGTGCCTGACTAATTTTGTATTTTTAGGAGAGACAGGGTTTCACCATGTTGCCCAGGCTGGTCTTGAACTCCTGACCTCAAGTGATCCACCTGCCTCGGCCTCTCAAAGTGCTAGGATTACAGGCGTGAGCTACCCTGCCCAGCCTTCACTATTTTAAAGTGCACAATTCGGTGGCATTAAATATGTTTACGCTGTTATACAACCATCACCACTATCTAGTTCTAGAACATTTTTATCACCCAAAAAGAAAATCTCATACCCATTAACCAGTCACTCTCATTTTCCCTCCCTATAGTCTCTGACATAATCATTAATCTGTTCTCTATCTCTGTAGATTTGCCTGTTCTGGATATTGTGTGTAAATGGATTCATACAATATGTGGCCTTTTGTTATTGGTTTCTTTCACTTAGCATAGTGTCATTAGTGTAAGGTTTATCCATGTTGTAGCATGTACTAGTACTCCATTCCTTTTTATGGCTCAGTAATATTCCATTGCATGGATATACCACATTTTGTTTATCCCATTCATCTGTTGGTGGACATTTGGGTTGTTTCTACCTTTTGGTATTGCAAATAGTGACAGCTGCCTTTTAAAATTATGCACGAAGAAGCAGCAAGTTAAGAAATGTTTGAGACAGGCATTGAGCTTATGTACTCCATCATCCCAACTCTTCTCATCTCCTTCCCTCACCTGGAGCCCAGGTTCCACCTTTTCTTTTAGACCCATCTGCTCCTGGGTCTGATGAGGGTGGCTTCATTGTAAAAAGAGGTGCTTGGGCTGGAGGTAAGCCTTGGATAGAAGGCCCTGGGTCCTGGGTTAAGTGAGGAGTAACCCTTTCTTTCATCCCCTCTCTCCACTTTTCCATTTGTCCTTTCTCTAAATTTCCCTTCTACTTCCTTCCTTTGTTTTATGTAAATTGAAAGTCGCCCCACAGCCCTTTAGCTTTTGGAATTCAGTGGATCCTGCTTGTCTCCGTTCTGCCCTGTAGCAAGAGACTGTGCCCAGCCAGCAACATACCAGCCTTGCAGAAATTTTAACATATGAAACACGGTGTATGTTGTTGCAAAGAATATTTTTAAAAAATTCTTTCTTCAGGATTTCACCTCTTCCCCACTCACAGTATCAAGTCACCATACCTAGTAAACAGGAGTAAGCGAGACCTAAATAGACTAGCTGCCTTGGCCGTGTCTGTGTAAGTGAAGTTTCTGGAACCTTTCCAATTTGTACTTGACCATTTCTGTTTTGTTTTGTTTTTAATCCCACTGCAGGCTGGGCGTCGTGGCTCACGCCTATAATCCCAGCACTTTGGGAGGCCAAGGCTGGTGGAACACCTGAGGTCAGGAGTTTGAGACCAGCCTGGCCAATATGGTGAAACCCCATCTCTACTCTTCAAAAATAAAAAAATTAGTCAGGCATGGGGGCATGCATTTGTAGTCCCAGCTACTCGAGAGGCTGAGACAGGAGAATTGCTTGAACCCAGGAGGTGGAGGTTGCAGTGAGCCGAGATTGTGCCATTGCACTCCAGCCTGGGTGACAGAGCGAGACTCCATCTCAAAAAAAAAAAAAAAAAAAAAAAAATCCCACTGCATTGTCTTGTCTTTCAGCTTGGGCCTGGAGATCTTTTGTGAATCTCTGCAGTCATAGGTCTGTGCTGTGTTACTTATAATTGTGTGTGTGTGTGTTCACACCAATCTTCATTCTTTTTTTCTAGTGAAGTCGCCACTGAGGTCCCATTCCGCCTCATGCACCCTCAGCCTGAGGACCCAGGTCAGTTTTGTCCTTTTTTGGCTTTCTTTAATTATTTCCTACTTGCAGATTTATTGTTGATGTATTTCTAGTCTTTCTTGACCACACCTTAGAGCATGGAGTGGCCAGGTATAAGAGATTCCATGTCATCTACAAGGCGAATAGTCTGGGGGAAAGGGAGAGCCCATCTGTTCAGCACTGAGCTGGGTAGATTATCCAACTTCAGCTGGAATCTGCAAGATGTAGCATCCTTGCTCTTGGATGGGGACAACCTCGTGAGATTTTATCAAGAATGATTTAAGAGCAGAAGCTCTGCTGTCAACAGACCTGGATTTAGAATTAAAGATGATTTAGGTAAAAACTTAATTTGAAAGCACAAGGATTTTGCATTTCATTTGGAAATGAAAGGCCTCGTTTCATTTGAAAGCATTAACAGGCATTTAAAAGGTTGTTTTTTTTTTTTTTTTTGAGACGCCGTCTCACTCTGTCACCCAGTTTGGAGTGCAGTGGTGTGATCAAGCTCACTGCAGACTCGACCTCCTGGGCTCAAGCCATCCTCCTACCTCAGCCTCTGAAGTAGCTGGAACTACAGGCATACCACCACCCTCAGCTAGTGTTTTTGATTTTTAGTAGAGATGAGGTCTTGCCGTGTTGCTCAGGCTAGTCTTGAACTCCTGAGCTCAAGTGTTCTTTCTGCCTCATCTTCCCAAAGTGCTGGGATTACAGGCATGAGCCACTGCACCTGGCTGAAGATAACTGTTTTTTGTTTTTTGTTTTTTTGAGATGGAGTCTCACTCTGTCACCCAGGCTGGAGTGCAGTGGCACAACCTAGGCTCACTGCAACCTCTGCCTTCCAGGTTCAAGTGATTCGCATGCCTCAGCCTCCTGAATAGCTGGGATTACAGGCGCCTGCCAACCTGCCGGGCTAATTTTTGTATTTTTAGTAGAGACGGAGTTTCACCATGTTGGCCAGGCTGGTTTCAAACTCCTGACCTCAGGTGATCACCCGCCTCAGCCTCCCAAAGTGCTTGGATTACAGGCGTGAGTCACCGCGCCCGGCCTCAAGATAACTATTTTTGACAGTGGCAGTTATGATAAGAATACAGAAAATACTAGAAAAGAGGGTCGGGCTGGGTTCCTGACACCTCAGCTAATTTGAATTGTAAATCTACTGGCTCTTGTATGGATACGGAATTATGCAATAGTTGTATGACTCTGAAAACATATTAAAACCCACTAGACTGTCCACTGTGAAAAGGTAAATTGTATGGTATATGAATTTGATCTCAATCATTCTCTTTCTAAAAAGGTAAATGAAGCAGCAAAAATAATATAGGTAAAATCTAGGTAAAATCTCAGAAATTCTAAAGAAACATTTTCTTCACGTTGAGGCAGTTTAGTTGACAGGAAAGAAAAACAGATCTGTCTAAATGAGAACTCTCCACAAGCATGGGAATAAGGGATATTTTAAGTAAAAGTGGTATAAACAAGCAGGGTTTATTTTTCTCATACTTTACAAGTAACTTTTCTATATTGATAGTGAAATGCCATTTAAACATTAGAATGAGCCCCCACTATTCATTTTAGGTTTTGTCTCAACAGTACTTTGTTTCAAAGCAGCTTTTCCAAATATTTTGGATTCAGACCCTCAATGAACTTTTCCAAAACTGAAAAATATAGTCTAGCTATATGTTTTCATTTGGAGAAAATTGAAAATGTAGTCTAGCGATATGTTTTCAATTCATTTATGCTTGTGTCATTAAAATACTACTTTTTAATGGTGTGAGATTAAGATGCTTTCTGGTTCCTTTCAAGCACATTAAAAAGATAGTCACTTGAGGATATGTCATAGTTTATGTTGGGTTGTTTTTTGGAATTTGAGTAGACTTTATGCTTTAATTTTTTTTTTTTTTTAGACAGAGTCTCTTTCTGTCACCCAGGCTAGAGTGCAGTGGCACGATCTTGGTACACTGCAACCTCTGCCTCCCGAGTTCAAGTGATTCTCCTGTCTCAACCTCCCGAGTAGCTGGGATTACTGGTGTGTGCCACAATGCCCAGCTAATTTTTGTATTTTTAGTAGAGATGGGTTTTCCCCATGTTGACCAGGCTGGTCTCAAACTCCTGGCCTCAGGTGATCTGCCCACCTCAGCCCCCCAAAGTGCTGGGATTACAGGCATGAGCCACCGTGCCCGGCCTGACTTAATTTTTAAAAATTCTTTCTCCATATACAACTTTCATGTTCCAGTCATTATGACCTTAACAGCGAACATATCACAATGTCAGGATGAAACAATGATCTTTTGTACTGTGAGATTTCTGGGTGCAAAGGTTAAGACAAATCACCCCATGGTTACAAAATTCTGATTTCTAGAGATATGAGATAGATATGAGATAGATGAAATTTCTAGAGATAAATGCCATCTCTCCTGTCTTCTCTGCCTAGTTCTCGGCTCCCTGAGTCTAGGCTGGTAAGATTCTAAGCAGAGAAAGCATAAGCTATATGTAGTTAAGCCCTGCTGGAGCCTGGGGGCCAAGCAGTTTGTGTGTAATAAGTGCTGTGACATGCTACCAAGTTTTTATTGCCCCCTGTCAAGGGTATCTGTACTGAATCCGAAGATGCTGATTTGATTCATCCTCGTTGTCTACCTCTGCAAGGCTGATGGTCCCACTTAGTGCCATTTCTTCGCTTAGCACTGTGGGCTGCAGGTCATTTCTTGCCCAGGGGATGTTTTGACAAGCTGGCCACTCTAGGGCCCCGTATGTAGCGACCCTCATAGACAGTCCCTCCCAGTGCTGGCTTCCAGGTGGGCACCAGAGACAAGAGCAGGGGTTCACCATCAAATTGCCACTGTGCTCCCCAAAACTAGGTGGGCAGAAAGCTAAAAAAGAACAAAAACCATTCAAATTAATAGCAGTTAGTCTGGGGATACAACACATGTGAAAACATAACCCAACAACAACAAAATCAGTGTGTTAACAGAAGTTGAAAACTTTGTGACTGGGGGTTGGTCCTCAAGCTTTAATGCACACCCCACCCCTGGGGTGCTGGTGAACGTCAAGTCCCAGGTCTCAGCCCTCTGAAGCCTGACAGATGGAGGTGCCAGGGCGCACATGCTCATGGCACCCTAGTGACCTTGACCTCGATGGGGTCCAGAGGACATGGAAGGTGGGGAAGCCAAGGCAGGTGGATAACTTGAGGTCAGGAGTTCGAGATCAGCCTGGCCAACATGGTAAAACCCCATCTCTACTAAAAATACAAAAATTAGCCAGGCGTGGTGGTGGGCGCCTGTAATCCCAGCTACTTGGGAGGTTAAGACAGGAGAATCACTTGAATGGAGACAGAGGTTGCAGTGAGCCGAGACTGTGCCACTTCACTCCAGCCTGGGCAACAGAGCAAGATGCCATCTCAAATAAATAAATAAATGAATAATAAGAAAGGAGAAGCAACACCAGCGGGGGCAAGGCTGATCAGGGAAAGCGTCCTAGAGGTGAGACTGGGGGGGTTTCATTTGAGGAGGTGAGGGTTGTGGCACATTGTAAAGGAAGCAGTGATTTAAAATGCAAGGAGAGGCCGGGCGCAGTGGCTCACGCCTGTAATCCCAGCACTTGGGAGGCCGAGGCGGGCAGATCACTTGAGGTCAGGAGTTTGAGACCAGCCTGGCCAACATAGCTGAAACCCTGTCTCTACTAAAGATACAAAAATTAGCCAGGCGTAATGGCACATGCCTGAAATTCCAGCTACTCAGGAGGCTGAGGCATGAGAATCTCTTGAAACCAGGAGGCAAAGATTGCAGTGAGCAGAGATCGTGTCACTGCATTCCAGCCTGGGTGACACCGCGAGACTCAGTCTCAAATAAAATAAAATGCAAGGAGAAAAGCTGTTCAAGTGGGAAAGGCAGGGAGGCAGGAATTACACGCTGTGATCGTGAATTACATGTATCTAGGCCTTATCTCTCAAACCGTAAAGTCACCTAAAAGGGAGACATTTTCTAGGTACAGCTATGATATAGAATTTATACTAACAAATGTCTCTCTCTCCCTCTTCCCTGCCTCCCTTTAATTCCTGCTTACAGCGAAGGAAAGGTGAGTGAGCCTCTTGAATGTGGCCCTGACTTGCCCTGTGCCCTGGGACCTTCTCCTCCAGCACAAACCCCTCTTTGAGTCTTTTCACATATCCCAAGCTCTCCGGCCGGTTCAGGAGGCACATCTGCTACTTCCTGTCTGCTCCCTAGTGCTTACGGCACGCGCGCACCATTACGCTGGGCTTGCTCACTCTGTGCGTGCCTTTGTTTTCTCCCATTGGTGCTAGTTAAAGGAATTTTAAACAAAGCCTTGAGGAAAATGACGTGCTCCCATGTTCTATCATGGGGAAAACCTTGATCAGTTCCTTTGTTGCAAAAATATCAAGGATCTTGTTTCAGTTTCAGCTTCAAAGGGCGTGCAATGATCAAAATGTCGTTTGTTTTATTTTAGTTATCAGGATGCAAATTTAGTTTTTGAGGAGTTTGCTCGACATAATCTGAAAGATGCAGGAGAAGCTGAGGAGGGGAAGAGAGACAAGAATGACGTTAATGAGTGAAGATGTCAGCTCAGGATGCCGGAAAATGACCTGTAATTACCAGTGCAAAGCCCCACAGTTTAGCCCTTTGGAGTTATGCTACGTATGAAAGGATGAGTCTTCTTCTGAGAAATAAAGCTTGTTTGTTCTCCTCTGAGTCATGAGTTGGTTGATTTGTTGGGGAGGCTGAGTTGATGACATGACACAGAAGCTGCTACCTTTAGGGTCCCTAGAGTTGGAGGGTTGGGGAGAAGGAGGCCAGTCTTCCACAGAAGGGCTCACCACTGGCCTATGAGGGACAGAAGATGTCTGGAAATCAATGTGCTTACCAGGTGGGGCCCTTGGTGTGTCCAGGGGCGTTCCTAGGAGTCTCAATCTGAGGTGTTTCTCTGGAAACAGTGCCTTCCTGCCCGTCTGCTGCCCGCCTTCCTTCCTTTCTTCCTTCCCTCCTTCCCTCCTTCCCTCCCTCCCTCCTTCCTTCCTTGTTTCGCTCTTGTTGCCCAGGCTGGAGTGCAGTGGCATGATCTCAGCTCACTGCAACCTCTGCCTCCCGGATTCAAGCGATTCTCCTGTCTCAGCCTCCTGAGTAGTTGAGATTACAGGCGCGTGCCACAAGCCCACCTAATTTTTTGTATTTTTGTTAGAGACAGGGTTTCACCATGTTAGCCAGGCTGGTCTCGAACTGCCGACCTCAGGTGATCCACCCACCTCGGCCTCCCAAAGTGCACGATTACAGGCGTGAGCCACCGGGCCTGGCCTGGTGTGTATGTTTCTAATTACCTGACCAGTCCCAACTTCCAGGCCCTAAAGAGCCTCCCAAGTTAAACAGGGCAGAGAACACCTGTGGACAAAAATACTCTTGGTTACTGATTCAACTTTTGGGTCCAGGTGCCTGTTTGAGCTTTGGGTTGTTGGTTAAGATCTATTCAATGCAAGAAACAAAATCAGATTTGGTCAACTTAAGGTGGGGAGAAGGATGTTGTGGGAGGACCCTGGTGTGGTCAGAGAACTGAAGGACGAACCTGAGCTGCCGCATCTGGGGTGAGCAGGAATCGGAGAACCTCCAGGGGTCAGGGACCCACTCTCTGGGGCGGCTATTCATGCGGCTCCGCACTACACGCTCCCAGCTCTGCGTCTCTTGATCCCAGTGGGCAGTTATTGGGAAGGAGAATCCAACTGGCTCAGCTTTGGCTGGGAGATTCAATACCCCATGGCCAGTGATGGCAGAGCCCAGCCCTGAAGATGGAGAGTCCCAGAAAAAGGCGTTGATTGTGAGTCACGTGGGCTTACTTAGAGTGTACTTCACTGAGATTGGGCATGAAAGGCGTAGGGGAGAGCACTCTGAAAGTCAGTGAGGAAGGTGAGCTGCAGGTGGAGGAGGGATAATAGAGGTGATACCAGGGGCCTTTCCTTTGTGGGGTCCCTTCCTGCCCTGAGGTACCCACCAGGCCTGCTGCTGATGGCACAGATACTGAACAGGCTCCTGGCGGCCAAGGAGGGGTTGGGGATGCGTAGGCTCTGGTCCGTCTCTGGTCCATGCTTTAAGGGAGCAGGGTAAAGGGAGGTTGGAGATTCCTCCACAGTTCAACCCACTCACAGAAGGCAGAGGGTGCCTTCTGTGATGGCGACCCTCACTTCTAGATGGAGAGTACACATGGCTCGGCCTTCTGGGATGGAATGTGGCGACAGAGGGCTGGCCAGGGCATGGGTTCCATACACATGTAGGTTCCCAACATCTGGGGTTGTTGAGCAGGATTCCAGCTGTTTGGGTCCTGCAGATTGGGATTTAGATGAGGAGGCTCCACTTGGGAAGCTTGGATGGGATCTCAGACAAAACGAGGTGTGGACCCGTGTGTTGACTCAGGCATCTTGGCATTGGGAGGAGGATTTAAAATACACTAGACTACAGGTGGAAGATTGGTCCTTCAGGCTGTGGGTTAGCAGGATCAGACACAGTCCCTCCTTCTTTTTCTCTCTGTGCTAAGGCAATGGTGCATAACCATTTTAACCTATGCTCCCCTCAGGGCATGCAGGCAAGGGACGGCCAGGGTGGCACACTCCTCTGAGGATTCTCAAAGCTGTTCCCCATTGCACTGAGTCCTTCCCCTGCCCTCTGCCACAGTACACAGGCTGCTGTGTTTAGCTCCTGTTAGAGCTCTTGGGCTAGCCCAGGGCCTGGGATTCTGCCCCGTGGTGCCTGGTGCGAGGACCAGCTCGTTGGTTCCTGCATTGCTTGACCCCAGGACATCCTAAGTCAGGGTGGACGTTAATAAGCCCGACCTTTGGAACTATGTGGGTGAGAGAGCCGGAGAGAAGGGCTGGAAGACCAATCCCTGGAGACAAGAGGTCAGAACAGCCCTTGCCCTCCTATTTTGGTGCCAAAACGTCTGGACACGCCCTCCAGGTGTTGGCTTGTTTATGGCCTGCAGCTGGCCATGCTAGGGAGGGAGTTGGGGAAGGAAGCGAGCCGCCAGCTGCCCTGAGCAGAAAGTGGAAGCTTGGCTCAGATCAGCCTGCACATGTGTGGGGCTGTCTACTGGCATGCAGTGTCCCTTGGTATCAGGAGGCAGGAAGTCTATGTGTAGGTTGAATGTGTGGCCCAGAGTTTTTGGGACAGGTGCAGTGCAAGAAACGGGGTACAGAGCAGTCGAAGGTGCTGCACGGAGAAAGTTCTGCAACCAGCAATGAAGGGCTGGAGAAGGGGGATCCCTGCCACTGATGGAGTGTCTACCTTGTGCCAAGTACTTCACATCTGACATCTAACCATTCCAGTAGTAGTTATAAATCAGTAGCATCATTCCCATTCCTTAGATGAGGAAATTGCGGTTCAGAGAGGTTATGTACCTTACACAAGGTCACACAGCTAGTGAGAGTCAAGGCTTGAATGCTGGTGTCCCTCAGTCTGTAACTAGACCTTTGCCCACTGTATGGTGCTGAATGGAAGCAGGAGAGTTTGGTGGAGTCGGGGGAGGGAGATTAGCATTTAGGATTCAACAACTGCCCTTGGCCCTTGCTATTTTTTTCCATCGAAATTTTCAGGCCGGGCGCGGTGGCTCATGACTGTAATCCCAGGACTTTGGGAGGCCGAGGCAGGCGGATCACAAGGTCAGGAATTCAAGACCAGCCTGGCCAACATGGAGAAACCCGTCTCTACTAAACGTACAAAAAAAGTAGCCAGGCATGGTGGCAGGTGCCTGTAATCCCAGCTACTCAGGAGGCTGAGGCAGGAGAATTGTTTGAATCCAAGAGATGGAGGCTGCAGCAAGCCCAGACTGTGCCATTGCATTCCAGCCTGGGCAACAGAGCGAGACTCCGTCTCAAAAAAAAAAGAAAGAAAAAGAAATTTTCATTGAGAGAATTGCGTATTCACATGCAGTTGTGAGGGGTAATACAGAGACCCCAGGAACCCTTTACCTGATTTCCTCCAGTGGCAGCATCGTGTAAAGCTATAGTACAGTATCACACTGGGGTATCGACATAGGTCCAGTCTGCTCATCTCAGATCTCCACAACTGGACTTGTACTTGTATGTGTATTTAGTTCTCTGCAATTTTGTCACCTGTGTAATTTCTTTTTAGGGTGTCTGTTTTCTATTTAACATTTAAAAAACGTTTCTTCCTTCCACCTTACTTTCACAGGACTGAGTCGCATTTACTGATCTTTGAGGAGTAGGGCAAGTGCGGGGTGGGAGTTGGGGACATTTGGAAATGTGTGTGGTGGTTTTTGGTTTTCACATGCTTGGGGACCAGCAGCTCTATGTCACATGCAATGGAGAAACATGCTGCTCCAAATGTCAATCATGACCCTAGTTGAGGGTAAAAATTGGATGATTCCCATGTTTTCAAGTTTCCCGTTTATATTCTCCAATGTGAAGTGGTTCTTTCTGACAAGAGTTGCGCCTCTTCACTGACCTGCCACAAAGAAGGATTAGGTTGGACGTGAAGTGTGTTATTACTGCCACCTTGATATGCCCTCAAGGTGGGGTAGACTCAGGGAGCAGGCTGTCGTTAGAGATGATTCATAGTGTGACTCATTCAATAAAGAAGCACCGGAGGGAATGTGCTCTTCCAGGCCACCGCTTTGGGGGAGTTGATGTCTCAGCCCTTCCTGAGATCTCCAGGGGAACCACGCTGTGCGCTCACGGGGAGAACAAAAAAGCTGCTTCATCATCAAAGAACATTCATGCCAGAGTTTTCTTTGCTTTAAGAACATAATTTTTACCAAGCCTAATCCTCTCTTTTTAAAATACACTTTTTATTTTGAATAGTTTTAGATTTACAGAAAAGTTGCAAAGATGTTCTGGTGAGGTCCCCCACACCTCAAAGCCCCTGTTATTAACCCTTACATGAGTAAGGTACATTTGCCACACTGAATGACTCAAAGTCTGTTTCCAGTAATACATATATTTCTTTCCAACTTTTAGTTTAGATCCAGGGGGTACATGTGCAGGTTTGTTACATGGGTAAATTGCATGTCGTGAGGGTTTGGTGTACAGATACTTTTGTCACCCAAGTAATCAGCGCAATAATCCCCGATAGGTAGTTCTTCAATCCTCACCCTCCTCCTACCCGGGAATCAATATTGACACGTTATTATTAAACTAAAGCCCCGTACTTAATTCCAATTTCCGCAGCTTTTACCTAATGTCCTTTTTCTGTTCCGGGATCCCATCTAGGATCCCACGTGACATTTAGTCATCATGTCTCCTTGGCTCCTCTTGGCTGTGACAATCTCAGTATTTTCTGGTAATTGCAGATTTCCTCCTCTCCAGCCACGGTTTCTGCTTCTTAACCACCACGTTCATGCCCTTGCCTCTAAAATGACGAGTTCTGGGGCCCAGATGTCCCCCGGGCTCCTAACATGTGTAGGCAACAGCATTTTAATGGCCTCCCTGTTTCTAGTCTTCTGTCCCCTGGATCATTCTCTGCTCAGATACATGAGTTCCTCTGCTTTCCAAAACCCCCTTGCCAGTTTCAGTGTCCACGGGACTGAAGTCCTTGCCTCATAGCAGGGCCGGGAGGCTACTCTGCATCCTGGCGCGGCTGCTCACCTCCCTGCCTCCTGCACCCACCTTGCTATCAGCTTCACCTAAATCCCTCGTCACCCGCTCTGCTCACCTGGTAGGGGGTAGTCTCCCCCTTTTTGTGTTGTCCTGGGAAATTCCCTTCATATCCGGCCTCTCCATTCCAATTCTAAACCCTGCTCAGGTCACCCGGTTCCCCCGCGGAATGAAGGAATGAATTCTTTCTTCCCCTGTGTGTCCCTGCCCCTCTGTCGCCTTGCTCACCCCCAGGGTTTTGCTTCTGTGTATCACTCCATATGTAGTTATTGATAGACAAGTTCCAACCCTGTGGGGAGGCTGGAGCCCTTTGTGCCTGCATGAGTTCTCTAGGGCTGCCAGAGCACTGCACCACAGGCTGGGCGGCTTCCACCACAGGAATTGAAGCTCTCAGTTCTGGTGGCTGGAAGTCCAAGATCACAGTGTCAGCAGGGGGAGTTCCATCGGAGGCCTCTCTCCTTGGCTTGTAGATGCCACCATCGGAGGCCTCTCTCCTTGGCCTGGAGATGCCATCTTCTCCCTGTGTCTTCACATGGGCTGCCCTCTGTGTGTGTCTGTGTTCTCATCTCCTCTTCTTATGAGGACGCCAGTCATACCAGATTAGGGACCACCCCTGTGACCTCATTTTAATTTCATTACCTTTTTAAAAACCTTAACTCCAAATGCAGTCACATGCTGAGGTACTAGGGGTTAGGACTTCAACACAGGGATGATGGGAGGGCACAGTTCAGCATGCGACTGTGCTGCAGAACTTTCTGGGGGGACGGAGGAAGTGTTCTGTATTTGTGCTATCCAGAGTGGCAGCTGCTAAGCCACATGCAGCTTACTCAGTCCTTGAAATGTGGCTCATGTGACTGAGGAACAGAATGCTTAATTTTAACTGAAATGTAAGTAGCCACATGTGGCTAGTGGCTAGTACCCTGGTGCACCCTGGGGCCTTTGGCCTGTCCCAGACTGTTCCTGCTTTAGGCCTTGTCCTCCTCTGTCCTGGCTGTGAGCCCATGCCCCTGGCCATGTCCCCATGCCAGATGCCACTCTGCAGCCCCCAGTCACTGCCCAGGGCGGCGGGCCGGCGAATGCCAATAGGCAGGTGGGGTCTCTAGCAGCAGCCCTTTGATGGGGCAAGGGCACACCTGGGCAGCCCCTTACTGATTTGCCCCTCAGAGCAGGGCAGACAGATGGACAGCATTTCCTCTGGGTGGCACCAAGTCCTGCTCCACCTGGATGGCACCAAAAACTCGGCTGATCTTATCTCCAGCTGCGCTTCCCCTCTTCTGCCCAGAGCAGGGCTGGACCCCAACCCACCCACTATCCAGCAGCCTCCCTGGGCAACATGGGGCTCGTCCCTGTCACCTCTGTCTCCCTCCAGTCGCAGGTCACTCCCCACCTGGATCTCAGTCCACTTCTCTAGCTCTCAGCCGTTCGGTAATCCAGGGTGTCCACCTGCCCTGATAACTTCAAAGCCCGGATCACAGGCCCCAGCGTGGTGACCCAGCCCCGCCCAGGGTTAAATCCCTCAAGGGCTTCCTGCTGCCTTCCAACCCCTTATCTGGTTTCCAAAGCCCGCTTCGACCTGCCCGCCCCCAGGCTCATATCTTAATGCCGTTTTCCTTGCTCTAAGCACCAGCTTCCCTTTCTTCCCTCGTCTTCGCCCAACACAAGTTCTTTCTTACTTCCAGGCCTTTGCACAAATCTGGTCTCTGCCTAGAACACGATTCCCTCTCTAGTCACAACTCCTGCTCACATTTTCCATCTCTCCTTAAGAACCGTTTTCTCCAGGAAGCCTTCCCAGATGGAGCGGTGCATCCCAGTTCTGGTGTCCCGAGGCCCGTCCCAGTACCGGGGTCTCTTTCCAGCAGGCGCGCGCGCATTCAAGCTCGCCCCAAACTCGGCCACACAAGGCTGGGCAGGACAGACGCGGCCCTGGCCTGCCGGAGGTTACCTACATTCTGATGCGGAAGAGTGGAGATGTTTTAAGAAGTGAACATAGAAACAAGAACACAAACGGCGTCCCAGAAAGAACACACAGAAGCCACGGCCGGGAGAGGTGGGCGGGGGGCCCCGGGACCCTTCAGGTGGGGGC